TAAGATTTTTACTACCTGTTCTTTAGTCTCACTTGGGATCCGTCGCCAAATGCAAAACCGACTTGGACCACAATCTATAATTGTAAGAAATTTATATGACCCATAATGAGTCACATCAATCGCAAGCCTGTGCCAATTCTTGTCGCAATCCAAGTGCCCCGGCTTCCATTTGATGGGGGATGGATCAACAGATAAACATTCTTTGCATGATTTGACTACGCAGTCAACGTCCTGTTTACTAAACTCAACGGCCGGGTAACAACGCCTAACTGTGAAAAGAGTTCGATTAACACCAAAGTGATGCAGACCATGGATTCTTTTGACCAACTTTTGTTTATCCTCATCCTCTTCTTCACCCATCATTGCAATACTGGTCTTTTCCTCCTCTCTTGCCAACCACTTTTTAGGAACTCTCGTCAGGCGATCTGCTTTGTTAAATTGCGATTTAACCAGATCCATCCTCACCTTAAGGCCACATTCTGATATGAGGTCTTTTAACAAACCCAACCGTCTTCTTACAAGAGCTTCACCCATCCCATGTGTTTTAATACGTCGGTCTCCTGTTAATATGGATGTTACCCAAGCATAAACGGTGGCCGAATCTGTGACCAAGTATAACTCCTTCAAATTCCATTTCAAAGCTAAGTTCACTCCTTTCAACAAAGCCTCTAACTCAGCTAAGTTAATATGCGCCGAATCATCTTCTTTCCTTAGCCAAGACGCGTCCTCAACTATTTCACCATCAATTTCAATGCAAATACCGATCGCCAAGCTGCTAGCATCACACCACACAGTTCCTTTGTCACTAGATGACACTGCCCATTTTCCAAACACAGGATCATTTTCTTTTACGCTTTCCATTATATCTCCTAACATTATCTTGATTCGGTTGCCCACCACATCGTCCCATTTCAAATCTGTCAATTGCCTCTTAAGAAAACTGCATGCTGGTCGAAGCCAACCAGCCACCGGGAAATGTCCGATTAACTGCCCACACAAGGAGTACACATCCCTCTTGGTCTCAATTTTATCCAAAGCTTTTATCTTGTTGTCTCTGGTCCACATCAACTTGCCATCTCTTTTTGAGACGTTAAGCCCCAAAACCCTACTTCCATCAAGTGGCTCCACTGGTTTCGCTGACAGCCCATATTTTTCCAACAACTTCTTTACTACATCACCGTCAACAATGTTCTCATTCACCACTATGTCGTCAACATAAGAGTCCGTAGCACTTCGGACTATTGGGTCCATTGACAGCACTGTATTAACAATTTTGCTCATTATTTTCGGTGCGACATTTAGACCAAACCCGAGTCGTGTTAGACAATAATTCTTATCCTTAAATCGGACCACTTGGAATTTCCATAAATGAGGAGCAATATGGATTTGGAGATATGCCTTACGAAGGTCGATAGTGCTCACATGTTCTCCTAGCTTTCTCCACATCCTTAGCTTTTCCCCACAAACCTCACTTTCTGCTGTATGGCTTGAGACATACTGATTTAATTCCCTGTAATCCATTACAGGTCGCACTTTGTCCTTGTTATGTTGCACGACCGCCATTAAAGGAATTAAGCCATCAAACTCCCCGTCATAAGGCTGGAGCCAACCGTCTCTTATCCAATCATGCACTTCAGCGTCAAACGCCTCCCTTGCCTCTTTTGAAATTGAGTATGAAGGTACTTGGTTATTTATCTTAGGTGTTTTACCGCCATCTTTCCAATTCCATTCAACAGTCCATTTTCCATCAACAAATTTCGCATTAAAGTCACAATCATTAATAGCGATCTCATCGTTGCCATTCTCCGAGGTTTCCTTCACGCACAGCTCCTTCTTGGCCTCAGCCATCGCTCCGATACCAACGTCCCTGAACGTAATAGTGCCATCTCCATCAATAGTGACACCTCCCATTGCAGTCACTGCATCCATCCCTAGAAGCATCTGATACCTTGGCAATACACTGGCAACCAAGCAACTCAGTTTGAGCGGAACACCTCTTATCAAAACTTGTAACATACATGTCATGTTACACTCAACTGATTCTCCATTCATCATTATAATCCTTTGACTTACTGGCTTCAGTTCTACTCCATATTTCACTAAACTAGGTGACACAATGCTCCTTGAACAACCTGAGTCCAGCAAGGCACAGCATTTAAAACCCGACACACTTATTGTTAATGTAGGGAGTTGCGCTGAAGAAATTGGGCCACCCGCGCAACATAAGGCAGCCCCATTCACTCGTTTTTTGGAATTTGTGAACATTTTGAGGCATAATGTCCTACCTCCCCACACCGGTAACAGGTTACTTTTGACTCACGATTTAGATGGGGACACGAACGTGCTACGTGGCCTTCCCTCTCACAAACAAAGCATTTTTTAGACCACTGTTTACCAACTTTGAAAACTTTGGCATTAGCCTGTGCAACCGCCCCAAAGTTTGACTCACTGCCCAACAGATTCCTAGCTCTTGTCATTACATCCGACAACTCCATGCTTTGAAGAGAACACGCAGCTTTCAACTGGGTTTGAGTATCTTCTGGCAAGCCATGTACAACTGCGCTCTTAATCCACTCATCAGATACAAAAGGGTCCACCAATTTTGCCAGTCTCTTCAAATCAGAAGCATATACATCTAGTGACTCACCGGGAAGTAGACGCCTAGCTGTAAATTCTGCATAAGCCTGAAAACAGTTCGCAGAAAAGGCCTGCAGCAATGCATTGGTGAGAGCCTCATAGTTACTCTTTACATTTTCTGCTAGCCCGTCATATACAGAAAATGCTCCTCCAGCCAAAAATAGGGGGAGAACTGTCTGCAAGTCTTTCACCTTTTGGAGCTTACATACCAATTCTAGTTTCTTTAACCACTCACTAAAATCACCACTTCCATCATACTGCTTAATCAAGTCTGAGAACTTAACACCAGTACCTGACATTATGCCGAAATAGCTTGTAATTAAATCAACATGCAAATTAAAAAAAATAATTAAGATATTTAATGCTTTAACAAACTAACATTTTCTACACATCAGAACAATCCAACTCTGGAAAATATTGATTTCTCCTTGACAACAAGAATCAATAAAAAATCATCCAAAGATAAACAAATAAAAATGTTCACAATATCAAACAGCTGATGACTAATTTATATCACAAGCACACTATTGTCTGAGGATTTTTGACTTCCACGTCATCGATCATAAGAATCAGGTTTGATTGGGTCTGATACTTTTCATCGCACAGTGTACGAACCACTGCCCAAGATTCCTTGCTTGTGTTTTTGGAATTTAATATTTTGTTACCAAAAAAGGCCTTTTTTGTTTTGTTAACAAGTGCAGAGTGGTGACGTTTAGCTGCGCGATAAGCATTTTTTCCATCGACAGAACAGTGAGGCGACCTAGTATTCCAGTACAGGTCCAAGAGTGCTTCATGCGACTGCGATACCTCATGACTGACCCAAGAAGGGCTATGTTCATTCTTTGTATTTGAAGTAGACACAGGGAAACTTACATTAAAAACATACATGAACGAATCGTAGAAATGGTCAAATAAATCATTAGAGGTAATATTTCTTAAATTAGGTTCTGGCATCCAAGCTTCATTGCTAGATAAAATTTTGAAGGCTTCAAAAGTCGAGGCTGTAAATTTCCTCTTCACTGTCTTATTTACATTTCCCTCTCCAAAACGTTCACACAACAAGTGTACTGATAACAAATGGTGGTCAGAAAAAAAAACAGGTTTGGCACTGGGGGCACGAAACATATGTGCAACACACGAGTCAACAATAAAATAGTCAAGCTGAGTTATACAATCAGGTGTTACTCTCGTTGGACCTTTAAATATAATGTTCAGGTTATTACATTCTAACAAATCCTGAAGCAGCTGACTTTCCCAGGATCTCTCAAGATTGTTTATATTTAAGTCAGCGCAAATAAGAAGCGGGATATTAAACTTATCTCTGAGGGTAGAAATCAACAAGTCAAAACGATCAATAAAATCAATCACATCAGCGCTGTTGGCAGTCCCAGGCCGATACAATACCACAACAATAATTTGGAACTTGTCTAGCTGCATTAGTCCCAAACAGAACTCAAATACACCTTCAGAACAAATGTCTTCGTCAATAGATAATGTCATCGGCTTAAATTTAAGCCTAGAGTCAGTTTTAAGCAACAGAGCAACTCCACCATTAATTACAACTGCCATTGTCATTTCTCCAGTGGTTAAAACAAAAATTCCTACTTTTGTGTTGTATATATGTGTCTCTATGGATTTATTTAAAGGTAAGCCTGCTTTCCTGCCAATTTCCTTAATAATTCCTGGCAAATGCCCTATCTTTTAACCAGATTTCTCATTATTTGTAAGTTTATTAAAATAGATGTAACTTTGCCCGATCGATCCAAATTTTCATTAAAATTGGAGCATTTTTACAATTGAATTATTGTTATATGCAATACAAATTTTAAAGTTAGTTGACTGCTGTACTAAAATGATTAAGTAAAGTGGTCCTAGGTTTAGGTCATTCCCTACATAATAGCTCCTTCCCCTATAGGGAAATTCACTTTGTATGTTCAGGGAACTAGGGTTTCGGGACCAAAGATGATGAAAACACCCCTATAATCTAGCATCTGATAATCTAGCACATTTAATATGCATCCTCAAACATACTCAGACGAACAGCCTAATAACTACTTATCACTATGGAATCTCTCTACTTAGAAAAAGAAAATGTTTTGCAAAAATTGTTTTTTTTCAGATGACAACACATAATGCAATTGTGGATTTACAGGATAAGCGAGATCTTCTGTGCATTATTTACAATTTGACTGCAAACATCTTTTTCCTTTGCTATGGATTGCTCCAGTAGCATTTTGTATTAAAAAAACTTAAATGCTTTTAAGGAAAAGCGCTCCAAACCCCTTTAATTCATTTTGATATGTCGGTAATTGAACCTTTCCCTTTCACACTGAATTGTGAGATGCTGACCACGGGTTACACACCTTCTTTGAGGCGCAGTATCAGGTCAGAGTTGTGTGGTGTAGAGAAGTATCCAGCTGTCGCTACGTCCCAGAACAACTCGTCTTGTTTGTTCTGAAGCTGCTCCGCCCATTCCAGCCATCTAGACTCTAGGCTGGCCTCATACAAGTCCAATAGTCCTTGGATGAGAAATGCGTAGTCATCTAAAAACCCTCTGATTGGTGGCAAACTGTAATAGATCAGATGAGATTCAGTCAACAAGTTTTCAGTTGTGAAATGCAGTGAAGTGTCTATTATAAGAGCAAACTAATCAGTGTTTAGTGTCCCTGACTAAAATCAAAGTCTGCTGTATAACTGTTAGATATATTTGTCATTATACTGCAGCAAAAATAGCCGTTTTTAATGCATGCGTTGCGGGTCTAAAGTAGCATTTTTACTTTCGAGAGTAAAAAGAGTTTTTAGACCCTAGAAAGTAAAAATCAGCTGTTGTCAACTCAGTTGTAAATTTTGATTGTAAACAATTGCATGTATCGAAAGTACCAGGAGGTATTGACTGTAGTTAATTGTTGCCTTATTGTTAAAGTTCAACATATCGATAGTATAAGGTACACTAACACAATCTTAACAGACGAAACTATTGAATCACTTACTAAACAGCTGCTTGTTTCCATTAGCAAATTCAATTGAAAACAAGTAAGAAGTAGTAAATTGTCAAATCTTCCATTTAATAGGGAGTCGACAATACTTACATTTGAGTAGCATTTCCATACTCATCTGTATAGCAACTCCTCAATAGAACATTGTTGGCTTTGTCATAGAGATGGTTTTGTAAAAATTCAGCTGCTAAGATAGCCCTCTTTGTAAGACTCTCATCTTGTAGAGCCTCAGCAGCTTTGGCAAACCCAGACACCATGAGACCTGCAAAATGGGAACATTAGGTACAATACAGTTGAGTCTCAGCCAAGGCAAGGTCAGATAACAAAGAAAATGTAAAAAAACTTTGTTAAAATGTCAAAATCAATAAGTTAATAACATTAATCCGTTCAAGGGTTGAGTCTCCGAACCATTGACTTTTTTCCATTTGGGAGCCATCACTACGGTACACAAATTACATAAAAAGTAGCCAATGAAACAAAGATGTAGCCTAACATAAGCGCTACTAGTTCCCTCAGCCACGTGGTATCCCTTGGTAACGTGACTAAGACATGAGGGGTAGCAGAGAGATATGCAAATATAGTTGACGACCTGTGCTGCAAATTAAAACAATCTTCACAGCACAAATAAGTCCAAAATAAGTTGTTTCTATATACCTGCTAGATGTGAAGTCAAATCACACGGAAATAGCACTTGATGCTGAATAAATACTATTTCAATAAAAGTAAAAATGGTGCTTTGGAAAAATCAATTTTAGGCCAAAACAATACTTCCACCAAAGAATAATGCCCAAGCCAAAATATTAATATGAAGAAGGAAACCCAATGAACCCTCTACTGGTAGGCATATTTGATTGGTATATCAAGAAATTCACAACCAAATGTCAGAAGACCGCCTGATCTTCATTTTCTTCAGCCCGACAGAGGTAGACAATAAGTAACACTAAACATTTACCCACTTACACAAAAATTTGTTAAATGATAATGGATTGATTTTTTTAAGGATTAAAAATCGCCAAAGTACAACTCCTGAACTAGGCCATTGATATGTTTTAAGTGTGCCTTTTACTAAAATTACAAATAACCGTACCGTTCCAACTAGTCAATATTTTGTTGTCCAGGTGAGGTTTTGGCCGCAGAAGCCGCTCCTTGTACAGAATCTCCCTGGCAAGTGATAGCTCTGTCTGCACTGTGGTCACTTCTAGACCAAACTTGGCTGCCGTCTGCTGCTCAGTGCTGACCACCATCAGTACGTTCTGATTGGTCAACTCATTGTGAGGATCCTGCAACCACAGCTCAGAATAATATAGCCTTTTATGAAGAAATCTTAATTGGTAAATAGCAGGGGTTACAGGATATTGTTATGTACCTAAGTGCCAAGCTGATCCAGAGAGAGTGGAGGTTGGGCACTGCATCCCCTTCTACGTTGGGAAAAATATTCATTAAATCTAAAACTAAAGTAGGAATGAAAGTTTGATTGCCTTTAAGTTATGCCTCCAGACTGCCTTAAAATGCAAGTTTACAGTTATTTAAATAATGTTAATGTTTAAAATTTTCCCTGGGGATGATTCCATACCAAGCTTACAGTTTGCTGTAACACCCTGTGAGATTATTTGAATGCAAAAATTAGGAAAAGGTTTCAATGGCTTGGATGTACCAGTGTGCAATACTGCAAAAGGCCTAATTTAAAAAATCACTGTGTGATTTGGATTTGGATTTATGTAGGATTGAGGAAAGGTATTACATTTTTTTTCATTTCGCATATGGATTTCTGTGAAATTTGTAATGTGAACTACAGATAAAGAGGTTTGACGAACTTTAAATCAAAATATCTGGTTAACAAAAGCCAACAACAATGTTATATGAATCAAAAAGTGTAAACAATTTGACCATTTAGGCATTTACCTGACTTGGATCAACATTGCCACCCGGCCGAACATTGTAATGATGGCAGAACACCTCAGCCAGCTTAACATCTGGCTTGCCTTCCACTGCCCGACCAAGTAGTTTCGTTACTTCTTCATGAGTCCATACACAGAAAGCTCCTTCTTTCTTTTCCTTGCTGTCATTCGAGGGAAAAGAATCTGCGTCTTCAGCGCTGTAGAATCCCCCATCCTGTGGCAGTTGGTTGTTAGTTGAGTTATTTATTGGTGAATAGAAACAAAAGTAATTTTTATGTTAACCTATATTGGTTTTCAAGTCAATTCCTTTCATCCATCCATCCATCTAAACTTTTATTCGTGTAACTTACTGTTTCTTCATTTTTATAAAAGGTTTAGACCATCAACATTTAGCCTCTCTATTTACAAAGATCGCTTCATCTACAGTGTTACCAACCTGCAGTACATTTCATCTACCGTTTAGTTTCACCAACCAATAGATTAGTCCATATACAGTTTTATTCCAATGATGATCGACCTATCAGGGTGAGCTTGTCTCCTTACCTACCAATCTGTTTATGTTAGTGTGACATACTATAGTATATTTCGTACCTAGGGCCGAAAATGAGGTTTTGCCGGCTCAAGATAGTTTTTAAGTTCGAGACGAAGTCGAGAACTTAAATCGATCGAGAGCTGTAAAACCATTTCGGTCCGTGGTACGAACGCTATTTTTCCCCACACTATACCCTATTACCACAATTCACCACTATAATAATGCCCACTGATAGTCAACACAACTACAACTTTAAGGTTATGTGAAGAAATATTTTGAGAAATCAGCAAAAATAAAAATAAATAGTTGCTAGGCAACGGTGACAATAACACAATTATATTTCAATGCTATGGATTTTGATTGTGCATTTAAAATGCATTCATGTTTTATGTAAGTAAGCGGACAGCTGATTTTGCGGCCCCGGCCTGTAAAAACCTGCTCGGTCCCCAAACTACGATGCCAGCTGGCATTCAATTCAATTCAAAACCACTTTATTCATTTCCTGTACATAATACATTGAATAGTGTCAACAGTTGCTTAGGCCTAATAGTTATGAAATACATTTCTAACATAATAAAATAAAAACAAAATTTTACAAACTTAATTTTTTTTTTTAAGTCCAAACAAAAAATACAAAATGCATGGCCAGCAAAACGTAACTTTCAACCACCAATTAACGTATGTAATACAGCCAAAAACATCATAGTGTGGTGAAAAGGTATATTTCTATCAACTGATCTCTTCACTAAAGGTAGATTCTACTACTGTAGAATGGCATGAGCCATGCTACTTAAACCAAACAGTTAAGGTAGCATCACCCTCACATTATTTGTCACTGACATTGAGATTGTTTTCAACCCCATTTAAGAAAATTGTCTGTTAAAACCCTGGTTAAAACACCAAATAATTTTATAGCCCTAAAACTGAAGTTGTTTGGCTACAAGCAAAGATCCTATCTTTGCATCTCTTTGCTTTGGTCCACAAGCTCATTGTTTACACTGTCTCTACCTTGTGACTCAGGTCCCTAGCCACATAGGCCAGGATGTCCCTCACTGTAGCCTCGTACAAGGGGTCCTTGGTAGCCAGGTAGGCCTGGGAGTACACTACTGCTAGTTGCGCTTGGTCGTACAGCATCTTCTCAAAGTGCGGCACGTGCCACTTCATGTCTGTACTGTACCGAGCGAACCCCTGCCAACCGACCATGACATTAGAGCTTACAGCTGGGATGAAAAGTGGTCCTAAGACCTCAAAATTGCATGGATGATCAAACTAGACCTTATTGAAGTCTGAGAAGCTAACCATTAGGCTAGCAACACACACGCTGCATCTACAAATCTACTTGGTATGTTACATCTGTGAAACTCAATTTCAGTATAATGCAAAATATGTTACCAAAGTGTATATTTTGTCAGACAAATGCCTAACAATAAATTTAAAAAAATTAGTGTGTAATTTTGTTTTGGGTAGTAGAGTGGATACAATGTTTGTCTTAAAGTTTAAAGTTCTGACTTGATACTGAGATTGATTGGCTTTTGACCTGCTTGCCATTTTACATTTAGCTACCAAGCAGGAAACTTTCTAGTAGGTTGACGTGATGTGACAAGAAGACACATCCTTAAAAAAGTTATTAATACCATTTGATTTGTCATTCATAAGCCTGTAAACACAACTTCTAGTATAGAATGAGGTAAATTTATCTTTTGTGAATACAATTCATTTTAGCTACCTATCTTTCTCAAACTACTAAGGAGGTTTGTATCATAGTTATAACGTGAAGATTTTAAAAACAAATTTCAATCAGATTTTGAATAACTTCAGCAGATATTACCTTCTGAAACCCAGGAAACATTGCAGACTCACCTTTCCCACATGATCGTGTATGCCTCCTCTCGCCATCATTTTTAGCGTGTGCAGCACCATGTCTCGCAGCTTCTTGTTTTTCTCTGATGGCTTACGAGCGAAAACGTGGAACGAGAAGAACAAGTTGCTTGGCTGTGGGAACTTTGGGGCGAGGCTGAACCCTCCGTAGGCCGGCTCATAATGTTCAGCCAGCTGCTCTGTACATAACTCCCAGCACTCCGCACCCGGCACATTACCTGGTCATTGGTTAAGAATAAAAAGTCTGTATGTATCTTCAATTGAATTCTTTAAACGATGTTACATTGTGAAGAACTGTTACAGTATTCACTAAAGCAACCCAGTGGTTACAATCAGTCTCAATCCAGCAATATCTGGACTTATCAGCCCAAAACACAACCATTGAGCTGCTGAGTTGTAATTGATATTGATAAAAAAAATAAAACACACAGCAGATTAAATAAATTTAGGAGTAAGCTTCCTAGTTGTGTGTTGCTTAACACAGTTTTATAACCTTAAAAATGTACTTCTCCCCAGTAAAGTTTTTTATTCTTTAAATTATTCATACTTAACGTATTGTTTCTGGTTACTCACAAGTGTTTAGGCCTAGGGCCTACATATTTCATCGTTATAAGGGGATGAAGGAAAACATTAGATAGGCAAAAGCTATTAATTATTATATGTTCACTTAACATGTAAAGTTTAAAGTCAAAGTTTTGTTTTTAGCGAATTTCCCAAAGAGGGAATAAGCTATTACCGTAGGTCTTATGGTAAGACCTGGACCCGGGACCGATTTGCTCTTTTGTTTTGAGGTCCCCAGAGGCCAAAAACACCATCCGTTCAAATTAATATATATATTTAGGATTTTGATAAAATTTAGTATAAACATGTAAACAACCTACATTTATTCAAACGAGTACACAAACCAGCATGATCGGACTATGGGAACAGGGGTTTATGGGGGGTTTTATGGGGTAAAAATGGGTCTTTCCCATTTTTCACCCTGAAAACATAACAATTTGCAATGTCTTTCCAGACCATTTTGTTGAGCTCAAAAGAACAAACAATTGTGTACATTAAAGCGTTTTTTATGCCTAACGGTTACGGAAAAAATTCCATGTTATTCTTATGGAGAATAAATAAACTGTTGTAGCTTGCTTGTCTATGGACATATATTTTTTTTAATTTGGAAAATTTGTTTACTTCATACTAAGCTATCAAGATTTCAATAAAAACACACCTTATTGTCTCCCTGTAGCATCAAACCTACGTACTCATTAAAATTAATGATATTTAAATAGGAAATAAATCTAACAATTTTAAGGGGGTAATTTAATGGAATTCCAGCCAGGTGGATGGAAATTCGCTTAGTCTGCAGGTTTGCTGTGGTTATTCACATTTCCTGTGGTATGTCGTATGACTCACCTGATATAAGGTTTTCAGACATGGGCACCTCAAAGACTGTAGCGTTGCGGATGACCTCAGTAACACTGTCACTCACTCTGGCCCACTGAGCTCTGTTCTCCTTCCACTACATACAATGCTTATTGTGAACAATCAATGCTACCCAGTAGTAACTGTATGTGAATTAATTTTACTGATAAACCTTCACACAGTTTATGTTCTTTGAGGATAAAACTGTTTAGTACACTAATGGTAAACAAATGTCTACAAGTGAAATGACTGTAAGTCCTCTTGGCTGAAAATTGTCAGTAAAATATATTTAATCAGAGCTCTATCTAATGACAAACATTCATAAAATCTGTTAAAAAAATTAAAAATTTCCATTCATAGCATAAATATTTTTGAACCCATAAAAAAAGGTGGCAGGACTACACTAGAAAAACTCCATGATATAATATGTAGAGTATGGAACGAAGAAAAAATGCCAAAAACATGGAAAGAATCTATAATAGTGCCAATATATAAAAAAGGAGACAAAGGAATATGTGGAAATTACAGAGGAATATCTTTGCTCAGTCATGGATATAAAGTTTTATCAAAGATTATTCAAAAGCGACTCGAGGAATACACAAGTAGTATAATAGAGGATCACCAGGCAGGATTTGTAAAAGGGAGATCTACAATGGACCAGATTCACATACTTAAACAAGTTATTAGTAAGCACTGGGAATACAATAAAGAAGTACATGGGCTTTTCATTGATTTTTCGAAGGCCTATGATAGCCTTGACAGGGGAAGAATATATCAGCAGATGGAAAAGTTTGGGATCCCCAGAAAACTAATAAAACTAGTAGAAATGTCCTTGAATGAATCAAAATGCAAAGTAAAAATAGATGGAGAGTTATCAGAAAGCTTTGAAGTAAGAACAGGCGTAAGGCAAGGTGATGGAATGTCACCTATACTATTTAACATAGCCTTAGAAGAGGCCCTCCAACAAGTAAGACAAACAAATATAGGTTTAGAAATGGGAACAAAAATAAACATCCTAGCTTTTGCGGACGATGTAGTAATTCTGTCCAAAAACAGAAATGACCTAGAGGAGCTAACCAGACTGTTCATAAAAAAATCTGAAAAAATGGGCCTAAAGATTAATGATGAGAAGACAAAATATATACACTTCACGAGACAGCCAAATGAAGTGAGGACAAATGAAATTAGTATAGATGGACATACTTTTGAAGTTGTTGAACAATTTAAATATCTAGGGGTAATTATATCAAGCAGCAATAGTGAAGAAATGGAAATAAATTATAGGATTGCTCAGGCCAATAAATGTATGTATTCTTGTAAGAAATTGTTGACTTCAAAGATTCTCTCACATAAAACGAAAATAAAAATATATCATAGTATAATTCGACCAGTATTAACATATGGAGCTGAAACTTGGATTTTAAATAAAAAAGAAGAAAACAAAATGATTGTTTTTGAAAACAAAATTTTAAGAATGATATATGGACCAATACAAGAAAATGGAGAATGGAGAAAAAGGCATAATAGGGAGATAAGGAATATGTACAATGATTATGATGTAGTAGCACACGTGAAAGCAAGGAGAATAAGGTGGGCAGGACACGCACTACGGAGAGAACGAGGTTCACTACTAAAAGAAGCAAGTATAGGAAAGCCAGAAGGGAAACGACCATTAGGAAGGCCCAAGAAGAGATGGTGGGATAGTGTTTCCAAGGACGTCAGAGAATTGGGGGCAGAAGTGGAAGAGGCAGAAGATCGAGAGAGATGGAGAGCAGTTGTTGGTGCGGCAAAATCCCGCCTTGGGCATAAATGGCCATGGGAGTGAGTGAGTGAGTAAATGATTGGCTAATGATATTTAGGCTATCTATATCTATAAAAGAGGAACTATGTATGTATGTATGTGTGTATATATGTGTATACGTTATGGACTCCGAAACCGCTCGACAGATTGTAATGAAACTTTCAGGCATTATTAAGCATCTTTCAAGGATGGTTCGAGTAAAGTTTTGTGCAGATCCATCAAAAGGGCTCTGCCCCAGAGGGTTTTAAGTGGGCCAATGTCAGACTTTTTGATCTACAATGTTTACAAATAAATATAATTCAAAAGCAGATGTTTACTTTCACCAAAGATTACATATGCTACGCAAAATAGATATTGCACCTTACGGCAATTTTGTGCCAAGTCGTTTTTAGACGGGGCCACCTTCACGTAGTTGGGTGGTCCCTCAACAGAGGCGCTGTGTCAAGTCTCGATCTGCATTACCATTCAAGTTTGGGTGAGTTCGGTAATGTTCGCGTGCTCGGGATTAACTTGCCTGTACGCAACGCGCTTGCCGACCCGTCGTCATCGTATCTCTAGTTTGAAAGCGCACAGCTGTCATTAATTTACCATAACTTTATCTTTTTACAAAAATTGCAGTTATTTAATTTAAAATGAAAGTGACCACGTAACAAAGAGCTAAAGGATACTAAAGGTTTACTGATATAAACATGAATTTATAAAAATCTTCAAAAATTGCAGTTACAGTGATATAATAAGCTTACAATGTTATACTAGTTTTCTGCATTAAATTTTAACTTACATTTAGAGAACCCTTAACAATTTAGAAATTTTTAAATCTTACAAGATTTAATAATTAGTGACTATTTGTGAGTTCGTCGACTTTTCTGTTTTCGGAACTTTTATCCACAAAGTTTGCTTCCGGATTTCTAGACTCGCGCAATATCTTGCTACTAGGCCTAACTCACGATGAGGAATGTATGGTTAGTCAACTACTACATAACCATTCACTGGCTACTTGACCTTTTTAAACATAGCAATATACACATAGTTTGTAGGAAGAACATTTATCAACACAGATGAGACGTAGGAATTGGCTAACTCAGGAACTCGCTAACTCGGTCGTGTGTCGGAACTGGCTAACTCTGGAACTGGCTAACCGTCTCAGTCAGGAATTGGCTAACTCCGGAACCCACTAACTCGATTTTGTCTCGCGGCGGAATTCGCTAACTCTGGAAGTCGCTAACCCGGCCGCGCCCACTGCACGGAGCGTTGCCAACCTTGTACGACAAAATAATCGTACACTGCCGTATTTCAAAATGTCAGTGTCAATAAAGATACAGTAAATGTTATTGTTTTTTGTTATCAATTCCACTTTTAACAGATAACTAGCCCAAAGTAATTCAAAGACAATTAAAAAATCATGAAAAAGTGTTTTTTTATTAAACTGTACAATGGCCAGTTAAATGTTTATGATTTCGATCTTAAATATAAATGCCATCAGTATAAAAGAAAATAATAGAATATGAAAAATATTGAAATTTCAGTTTAATTGGTACTAAATAATTAAACCTCTACGAAACTAAGCTAAAATACACGCAAGTTCTTAAACACGGAAAACAGAATTATGTTACATGTTATAAAACCGTTTTTAGATTGTACACCTAAGCACCACTAGTAAAAAATAGTAGAAGATATAATATTCATATAATAAAACGTGACACGGTAATTTTAATTCACGATTCTAAATAAACGAATTGACGGATTTTCCTGATTTGAGTGTTGGGTTTCCTTTATATTGCTTTCACAATCGATATAAACTATACCAAGCCATTGCTCGGTTCACCGTTCCCCAGTACTGAGCTTCACAATAGACAATAGCTTTGTTTTTGGATAAGATTAAGTAATTTTAGCTATGGCCACCAATTCATAGAATTGTAACAAACAAGAACGCCTGCGTCCATTTAGAATCAGCCTAGAGAAAAACTCCAGACTTTTAAAAAGTAGGCCTACTGAAAGACGTAAAATTAATATTAATTCAACAAAATTAAGAGGATGACCCCGGGACTACACTAATAGCCTACGATAAAAGAAATTTACAAGTTGTATTTATGCATAGACTAACTTTTAATGCAATCCATGAATACATTAGGCCTACCACTTTATAATGTATTGATAAATATTTATTTAAATTCAATAGCTCTATTTAAAAATGACGTTTAACGTGTAAATTTTATTGTGATTTATGATTCAAGGTTACAAGCCCAGTATATAAAATACGAACTCAATAATTTTATTTGCAGAAATTTACAAAATGGTATTTATTTGAATAAAAGAAACAACTGGCGGCCTACGAAATTATATATTTCATAACATGTAATAGATCCAAATTAAATGTGCATTTTTATCTTTTTGCATACCAATAAGCTACTATTTAAGTAAGAAACCCACATATAAAACATACTCCCTTATATTAGTACATTTCTCATCCTTATCGATCAGCTGAAGACAGTTTTATTGTTAGATCTGTCCGGTGCACTGTCTTTAGAGGTCGTGTTTTGTTTACAATTGTTTCTTGTTTTCAGTAATTTAAAACCTCACTTCAACCAGGACATGATTGAGCCATGCGAATACTTATGAAGTTAAGCGGGGCAAAGCCCGCGGGTACAGCTAGTTTTTAAAAAAGATTCTTTACTATGACTATTCTAGATTATATTTCTATCCCTTTTTACTTTCCCTTATACATATTTGGCCTATATGGAGAAAGTATTGTTTTTGTCAAAATGTTTGAGTCAGATTTTTGGGTAGAACCAAAAAAGTGGTTTTCAAAGTGATGTCTGTGTGTGTGTGCAACCTAAATGTGAACAGACTACAGTATATCTATGATTTGATTTTGATTAAATTTTGTATGTGTGCACTAATCCATGGTATCACTAGGCGTTTATTTTTTCCATTGTTATGAAATTTTGTTTTTTAATTGTGATTATTCTATAAAAACCCATGTAATAGCAAAAAAATCTCATTAAAAAAAACTACTAGGACGATTTAAATAAAATTTAGTATAGGCCTATTTCTGTCCTTAAATCCTAAAAAAATGCTGCCTAAAGCTGTAAAAATCACAGTTCAAAAGTTATTGCATTTTTTTCCCCCAATAAAACTCACAGTAACTCCCTCCACTTACTCATTACTCATTACGATTGTATTTGTCTAGTTAATGGGAGAATTTGTGTGTAAACTGATACTGATTATTTGATTTTATTTGAATAAACTAACCAAATAATCTACAGGAGCCTACATAAATCTCACCTCTTTGGCCCATTTTAGCAGTTCACTCTTGAACCCTCGTCGCCCATATCGATCTTCCGGGGGATAATACGTCCCGCCTGACACTGGCTTCAGGTCTGGCTTGAGAAACACACTCATTGGCCATCCTCCACTACCAGAACAGGCCTGTCAACAGAAAACAAACCAAGTTATCGACAAGATTTATCTTCATTGCATCATTTCTTTTACCCAATGAATTTTGAAGTCGAGTTTTGGTCTCAGCTTGTTGTAAAGCAGGCCTAACAAATACTATACAGGGTTTCCATAAAATAATGGTGCGGTTTAATTATGAAATAAAAAGATAACGAGAAGAGGTACAAAAAAACTATTTATTTTATTGGATTCCTTACATTAAAAAGATTTTATATATACAGTCCAACCTCAGTATAACGAATCTGAAGGGACCGAACTGAATATTCGTTATATCAAGGATTTTGTTAAAACGAGGTTCGTTATATAGAGGTTATGTTTGCAGGAATTTCGCTAAGTCGAGGTTCAGAACCAGCGTCGGTCAATATAGGTCGGGATTAGACATCATTAAAACACAATTAAAGTAGCATAGGCTACAATACTTTACAGTACAGTGTTTACATTGTACAGTAGAACCTAAACCATCCGGAATAAAAAAGGGGAGGGATCTTGAATATTGCGCAATCATGAAAATGGCATTGACCTTGGTACAGGTTAAAAAACTGTAAGTTTAAAATCACAGCTTGTTCTAACCCTCCTAAAACCTAGCAAAACACTGTATTGCGTAGTCATAAACCATGTAAAGAACAAAACAAAACAGTAGTAGAAAGTTTTGTAAGCTACTGCTCGTGATAGGCCGGTAGGCTACTTACAGTGCAGTACTGACTTATCACAACAGAGGAATGTCAATAATAATCATTAACTATAGCATTGGTGTTGCTAGTTGAAACAAATCGCATTGAAAACAATACAGTAAATTATTAAATAAGTCATTATAAAAGTGTATAATCATAGCCAACTTAAAGATAATAAAAACACTCGAAAAAGGAATGTTAAAATAACGATGTTGCTATTCTTTCTCTTTGGTTTTGTTTTTATATTCTTTCTTAGGTTTCTCTTTATCCAAAAATTGTACAATTCACCATAGTTACTTATCGCCCAATCACAGCTTACTAAATATTACGTCGTCATCATCAGTCCTCAGTGAATTAAATCAGTTATCAGTTGCAACATAGCGCGCGCAGCGACAGCAGACAGAGATGTGTAAAACGGAGCAGACGAATGTTAGCGCAAGCGATGACGTCACCTTTCCATTTCATTTGATAAAGAAACAGATTTTTCAAAAACAATAATGGGGTGGGGGATTTGTTATATCGAGGGAAAGACGTAGACAATTCGCTATGCAGAGGTTAAATTCGCAATGTAGAGGTTCTGACAATGATAAATTCGCTATATTGAGGTGTCTTATTTTAGCCGAAATCACGAAAAATTCGTTAAATCAAGGTCGTTGTTATGGTTTGTTCGTTATGTAGAGGTAAAATAAACATTGTGTCTTATGGAGAGTTCTAGGGGATTTTAAAAAATTCGTTATATCAAGGAATTCGTTGTATCGAGGTTCGTTATATCAAGGTTAGACTGTATCTAATAAAGCTCGACATGGCCACCATTCCTAGCCCTGAAGACGTCCAAACGATAATCTACTTCAGCCCACACATTTTGCAACATTTCTTTTGTCACCGTTGAAACTGCATGAATGATTCTTTCCCTTAGGTGGTCCAAATTGCAAATTTTTTGAGCATATACTATGTTCTTTACATGACCCCAAAGAAAAAAATCGCATGGAGTCAGGTCCGGGCTCCTGGGGGGCCATGCTATAGGACCGCCTCTTCCAATCCACCTGTTCGGGAACTTAACATCTAAAGCATCTCGAACAATTGTTTTATAATGTGGAGGTGCTCCATCCTGCTGAAAATAAAGGCTTTTTGCATTTTCCATGTCGTCAAGTAGAGGAAAACAATAGTTTTCTAACATGTCCAAGTAAACATTTCCATTGATAGTTTTTTCAGCGAAGAAAAATGGCCCAATTAATTCTTCTCTGGACAGGCCGCACCAAATGTTTATTTTTGGTGAGTCTCTTTCCTTTTCAAAAGTTTCATGAGGATGCTGAGCTCCCCAAATTCTTACGTTGTGCCTATTAACACAACCACTGATGTGAAATGTGGCTTCATCTGAAAAAAACTACTTCATTCAAAAATGATTCATTTTCTGCCATTTGGTTCAACATAAATGTAGCGAATCCTGCTCTTTTTATCAAATCTGTTGTTTTTATTTTTTGAAGAAGTTGAATTTTGTAGGCATGAAGATGGAGTCTTTTGTGTAAAACTTTGTGAAGAGTACTAACAGGTATTCCTAATTCAAGACTACGGCGAGGGAGGGATTTCTTTGGACTTCTAACACAAGATAGTCTGATGTCTTCAACTGTCTGGTTAGGCCGGCCGCACACCTGATACAGCACGGCACGGCAAGGCGAGGCGAGACGTCTTTGCCTCGCCTTGCCGTGCCCGATGGAGATTTGAGATGCATACGGCACGGCACGGCAAGGCGACTTGAGCACCCACATGGTCGATCCCATGGTTTCAGTAAAGTGAGATACTGTGTGTTATGAGGTTGTTTGTACATTTTGTGACACTTTGTACTACACATTTTGTGAGAATGGATGCATAAGACGAAGAAGAGGCTGCTGCTATATGGTACCATTGACTGTTGTGTTTATATAGTCAATGATGGTACCTAATGAATGTAATGGACGATCTCCCTAACAGAGAATCGTGGGTGCATCCTATCAACCAAAAAAGGAACTTGAAACCATTCATTGCAGAACTAAGAGCAGATCCGGAAAAATCATAATTACTAATCGTTGGAAGTGCACACTGATTTTGACAGGGGCTGTCACTGCGCTGAACGTGGTGTCGATCCTCGCGCATGCGCACATCGTTTTGCCTCAAGCCTTTTACCCGAAAGACGAAAATTGAAAAGGCAGAACAAAGCGCCGTGCTGTTTTGCCTTGCCTTGCCGTGCCCGATGATGTGTGCGGCACCCCCATTTGAAATAATAGAAATCTAGTCGCATAAGGCGCCTTAAGGCAAAACGTCGCGCCGTGCCGTGCCGTGCCGCATCAGGTGTGCGCCCGGCCTTAGATACTGGTGGTCTACCAGGTCTACTTTGCTTTTTAACTGACCCAGTGTTTATGAATTGCTTACTCCAACGATTAATGTTGTTTTTATGAGGCGGAGCTTTATTGAATGTTCTTCGAAATGTCCGTTGCACTAAAGTCACTGACTTTAACTCACTTAATAACAATACACACTTAGCTTTTTCATTATCTGAAAACATGTTGGTCGAAAAAACTCAACTTATTGATTAAGAAGTGTTTTGAATAGTACAACAATCAAAACAGCTGTTTTAACAAATATGAACAAAACTGTTTGAGCTACTAGATACAGGGATACCAACAGAAGTCATTTAATTCGTTTTTTAACAGTTTTACAGGATGTTAAAACCGCACCATTATTTTATGGAAACCCTGTATTTAGTAATGATTTTTGTAACAAATAAGTTGAACAGCAGGATTATCTTACTTACGAAAATAGATGAAAATGTGCAAATAAACATAGAGATGGTAGTGTCTTTCTATGTTTCATATACTAGACCGTGTACTCTTCTTCCTCCTTCCACGACCATCAAGAACATAGAATGACACTGATACTGAAGAGGAGCAAGTAGCTCCAAAAGTTCTATGTGTCATGTGTTTATTTCTGTATTTTCACCTATTTTCGTCAATAAGGTGAGCCAGTTGATAAACCTATCCACTAAAAAAACCTTAAAAATACCCTGGCCTAAAGTCATTTTGACCCAAAACTTCATACTTATAGATAGTAAGTAATACAGGGTGGCAAAAAAGTCCTGGTACAGTCATATATTAATAAAAAATAATAAAGAAAGAGCTAAAAAACTAGAAGCAAAGTTATTGAACATAAATATAATTTCAACACATTAATCAGTGATACACTATCTCCTCAGGAGGACAAGCCGCTAGGAGTCACAAGAAAATCTTAAATGTAAGCTTAGGTTGATATGATCATCGAATTAAAGGTCGTTATGAGAAGAATAACCGAGTAAAACCGTTCTTCTTCTAGCGGGGCCGCTCCCGTAGCAAATACAAGTAATTGTGAATTGCTACCGTTCCCCTGTGGAGGTAGCATATCACTGAATGTGTTGAAATTTGTCCAGTGTAAACAAAATTTGTCAGAGTCCCTCAAATGATGCGCTAGAATTGTGTGAAGTCTTTCGCTTTAAACTAACTTGATAAAGTTAATTAGGCCTACATTACGTTTAAAGTTAATCACAATTACTGATCATCCTGAATTTTAACTTGCTGCTATATTACCTTTACAACTAAAATTATGATATCAGCTATTATGAATCATATTCATGTTTCATATCAATCAAATTGGAATCAACTCAACTGAAGCTAGTCAAGAAAAAATAACAGACAACTGAATAAAGGTGAGAGGTACAATGCGCTTGCATAAGAGAGTACAATTTTGGCTAGTTATTGTGATGACTTCCATTCATCATTCATGACAAATTTATGTGTACTACTTTTTTGATGGTTTACCAGTTGTTAAACCTATCTACTACAAAATCCTGAATGTACTCTCTATTGTGACATTAGCACAGCAGCTCAGTAGGGTTGTATGGAGCAGAACTACTTCAATAAACAATACATATCAGCTCCTCTCCTGCAGGTGAATTTATCATTTTTCGAGGTTTAAAGTCTAGAGTAAACAATTACTTATACAGTACAATATAATCTAACAGACACAAAAAAAGTTTATACCTGAACAAACGTCATGTAAACCTTGTCCACATCAGGTCGTTCTTCTCTGTCAACCTTGATGTTAACAAAATGTTCATTCATGACTCTGGCGATATCTTCGTTCTCAAACGATTCTCGTTCCATCACATGGCACCAGTGACAGGTAGAGTAGCCGACAGAAAGAAAGATTAGCTTGTCTTCCTTCCTTGCCTTCTCGAAGGCTTCTTCTCCCCATGGATACCTGACAGCAAAATTGGCACATAACAATGGGAAAAGATTTGCTTAACAAAAGCGTGTTTTCCAAAAGGAGAATATTTTCAAAACGCTAGTTACATTTTAAAGTTCAAGGTGTCAGGCATAATAACAAAAAAAATTAGGAAAATTTATATTTATATATTTTTTTATCCCAAGTTCAAGAACTTTTCTATATTACATTAACTTTTTGCTGTATTCTTGAGGAAGATATTTGTGTGTCACCCTAATGCATTTTGCCAGCTTCTGTGCGGTTTTTAAAGGGTCTTCTTAAGCTCTCTTCTTATCACTAAGCACTATATGTGTTTATTAAGATATTTACACACATGAGATCACTGAAATTGCAGTCAGGTTAAAAAAAACCCCGATGACGGACACATGGCGGAGTCATGACTGGAAGTCTTTCTTCCACTATTTCATTCCTTTGATTGGGAGTGTTCGTTGGCATTTAAGCCGTTTGATAAATAGGTGAATTAGATAAACTCCAATAAACTCCTACCTACCCTCAACTATCGAGCGATTTTTGCTCGACATGACAGTAATACGAGTGACCGTGAGTGTGTTTGATAATATTTCTGAAAATAAAAAATAGGCCTCTAGTGTTAGTGATAAAAAGATAGGTAGCTTAAGAAGACCCCCTGAAGATGTCATACAAGCTGGCAAAATGTATAGGGTGACACATAAACATCTTACTCAACAACACAGGCAACAACAAAAAAGGTAGTAAATAAATTATGTTTAAAATTTGCAGGATATTTCTTTCACCTTATTGTTCTTAGAACACAACCCCTGAATATGTCTGGACCTTGCTTTGCCACATCTGAATAATTGGAAAATCGATTTGCAATTAAAATAATAACTAAGAGGCTTTAACAAGAAAATCTTAAGAATGCAGACTGATAAAAATAAGAGTAGTTACTAGTAGGAGTGTTTACATTAATGTGGAACGATATTTTTTAAAAGGGTTATTTTATTTTTCATGACTTTCTATACCAATTTTGTTTTGTAGGTAATTGATAACAATAATAACTTATGTCAATGCCAGAAAGAGTTATTCAATAGAGAACAAAATTGTATTATATTCAATATTAAAATCTACAGTAAGAATATTGCATTTATTGCAAACATTAAAAAATGCAAAACGTTATTAGCTATACCTCTCCCGCCTAACGTCACATTGGAACAAAGGACTGCAGTTTCATAATGATCAAAATAACCAAATGGAATCATTGATTAGGGTCACCAAGTAATCAATTCTTTGATAAAACAGTACCATACGGTTGAATTATATTGGTCTATCAATCCCAATTATTGTTTTGCACTAGACTTTGATGGTTTGGGGGTATAATAATGAAAATTCAGCCAAATACACATCAAATTAAGATTGACACTAATTACTGATTTAAGTCTAGTGATGATATAAGTTGATAAATGTGCAATAAGTTTAAATTTAATTTTACTAGCTTTTACATTTAAGTTAGCCTATCAATACATTTTCTATAAAATTATTAGCTGCAAGCACCATCATCGTGTATACATTTTCTCTAAACATACCAGTCTACAGGGTTGTGTGCATGTTGAAGTAAATAAGGAGACTTGGAGTCTTTCAGTCTGTTTGTATGCTTCGGTTTTATATCAGGGTCTACGCTGGCGGCCATCTTGGTGCCAAAATCTCTGTCGTGAGTGGTATATGACCTGTAAAATTTGTTGTTCCTTAGGAAACCCAAAAAAATATTCCAGAAGCAATTTTTACAGTTTGATCCACAGACTTATTTAGTAGCGTATTTAGAGTAATTAATCTTTATCAGCACATGATGAGGTTACTATAGTGTTGATCGAGGTTTAAAATTGTTCACGTTTGAAAACAGTACATCTGTCTCTGTGGCACTCACTTCAATCGGGAACAGCTGTAACTGATCAAGCACCAATTTTCTTCGTACCGTAGCTTATAAAATATTTAGGCCTATAGGCTAATTAAGGTATGGACGACGTTTATAACCAAACTCTCAGTTGAAAAAATTCTAGTTAAAGTCTTATTTGTATTGCAGGAAACAGTAAAAAAAATAATGTTTGGTTAAATTTAGCTTAGGTACTAGGCAATCTTTGTTTTATTTTGAACAACGGAAACCTAAAAAAAAGCTTTTTTCAAATATACTTTCAGGGTAATGAAATTGTTCGTACTAAGCCCGTCCTAATTTAACTTAATAACGAATTGCAATATAGGCCTAACATTCTTTTAGTTGATATGAATACAATAAACATATTAATGAGATAGTACCGAGATTATGTCCACTTAAACCTGCCCCCTGGCAGCTGACTAAAGTTTCACCCTAAATTCACTAGTTTGTAGGCCTATGCAGAAAATAACTTATATTTCTTAGTACCTTAGGCTACCGAAATTGGTCTCATAAGTTAAACCCACTGAGATTATCTCTCAGAAGTCTACTAGACTCCTGAACCAACAATATTTAGTCGCAATATTATCCCTGGCCAAGTTAGGCGCGCACCTAACTAAATCCGAGCTCACAAACCCGTTTTCTAGGTGGCAGCTTAAATACCAGAAATATCCGGTTCATAGTCGCAGACTAGCGCTAATACCAAGCTCCCAAACCATGCCTAAGTATCACAGTATAACTTATAGTGATAACTTACCCAGGCCAGGCCTAGCCACTTGTAATTTTTTTTCTTGAGCTTAAAATAGAGTAGGCCTAACTTACTATTTTTTTAGCGAATTTCCCTATAGGGAAGTAGCTATTACCGTAGGTCTCATGGTAAGACTTAGGCCCGGGACCGATTTACTTTTTCATTTTAATGTCCCCAGAGGCCAAAAACACCATTCGTTCAAATTTTTATATATGTATATATATATATATATATAGGTATATATATAGATTTATATATATATATATGTGTCCGTGAACACGATAACTTGAGTAATTTTTATCCGTTTTTGATGAAATTTGGTTTGTAGGTGTAAGGCGGGATAAACTTGAATGAGTTCGCGATCCAGCATGATCGGACCATGGGAACAGGGTTTTATGGGGGGTTTTATGGGGTAAAAATTGGTTTTTCTCACTTCTTACCCTCAAAACACAAAATTTCCCAATTTTTCTCCAAACCTTCTTAAAGAGCTTAAAAAAACAAACAATTCAGTATATCAAAGTGTTTTTGTACGATTATTGGTTACGGAGAAAACTAAAAAAATGGTAAATTTAAAATTCCCATGTTATTCTTATGGAGAATATTGTAAAATGTTGTAGTTTGCTTGTTTATGGATATATTTTGATCAAACTTGGCAAATTTATTTATTTTATAGTAAGCTATCAATATTTTACTAAAAACACACTACTTTATTAGTTTCCTTGTAGCAGCAAACCTAGGTACTCGTTAAACCTAATGTTATTTAAATAGATCAATTGAAAATCAATTCGGCCAAATGGAAATTCGCTTAGACGGCAGGTTTGCTGCGGCGGGGGTATTTATTTATATGATAAATGATCAAACAACTGACCTATTTTGATAGGTTATGAACTTATTCAATGACTTAAACTTATGCTATAGAATTATAGGCCTACTTTGCTTTGTTCAGTCAAACTTATGGGTCTATTAAAGATCTTTTAAGGTCCGTGAGTTAATTCATTGAAACATTAAGAGGTAAATATTTTGATATGTGAAAATAATTTGAGACAAAATGACATTGGACAATCTTACCTTACATTACATAGCTGTTGAGAAGCTAGTAAACAGTCTGAAATTGACTGTTTTGGAAAAACAATACACCTAGAACATGTATGCTCACTTGATTTAGCTCGCCTGATAATACTAAGGATTATTGGGCTCTGAGTAAATCGTCCCGAAAACATAACATTAGTTGGCAAAACAAGTGTTTAAAAGTTAAAGGACAACATCAGTAACATCACCGAAAATATAGGTTACACTTGTAGTTCAGGGTTAACTCTGATTTCCTTGAGGCATTTATTTGGTTTGGACACACCAGTCAAAATGAAGTGACAGTTTTTTTTTTTTTTTTTTTTTTCCTCTGAGCCCTTAAGGCTTAGGCTTGGATAATTACTCCACGTAGCCTATTAGATTTCTGATGATGACTATTACTCACTGAATCCTTCTGTGGTTGTCTTTGGGCATTTGACACTTTCTGTAACAAAGGTTATGTTATGTTAGTTACACATTTACATTTATGTGATAGTTTCTGTTTCTATTTTGTTTTTGTTAGTTTCTGTTCACATTTGTTTTAAAGAGGGATGCATCTAATGATTAGGAAATGAGAGGATTTAAGGTCAAGGGTGAGATATCTTCTCGGCCAGGGGTCCATCAGGCCTTTACCTATCCCGAAAAGGAGGGGGGACCTCGGATAGAAGAACCTTAGGCCAAAGGAGAGTGTTGTGTGAATGTTAACTGATTGTGTGAAATGAGCCTTTATTGTATTCATATTCTTCTTTTTATAACCTTCAGAAAGGAATTTATTTCTTTGTATAGTTGTACATCTTCACTTGCCAATATTTTCCTCACTTTTTCAAAGGTATTGTCATTTGGGAATTTGTTGATTCTCTTGAAACATTGTGCTCTTGCGTAATCATAATGTGGGCATTCAAGCAAAAGATGTTCTATAGTTTCTGTGACACCATTGGTGCATAGTATACACAAAGGTGTAAAATATTGTTTAATTTTATGCAAATGTTTATTAACATTTGCTATACCGATCCTCAGTCTAATAAAAGTGACAGTTGTTGAGTTAGTAACAGTGAGCAGTCAGCTGTTTTCTGTTTATTTTCTGGATAATCAATGAGTACCACACTACTAAAAACTTAAAACTCTATTACAATATAAGTTATAACAAAACTTAATCTTGTTTAGAGACCTTTTCCTAATCGGCTATTTCCCGAGGGAATGAAATAGTACTAACTAGGCAAACTAGGTGAAACCCGTCGAAATCGATGGTTACTTTAAAGCTTGCGCTACCGGTAATTCATTTAACTGCGATAAACAGAGTGAAATTTTACAAATGTTGAGCATTTAGCATTGTTTAATGAGTAATAAGTGTAAAAACAATAATAATTACTATTACGTTAGTTACAAAATATGGTTGATCAGAATCATAATAATTTATTTGTCATTGGACATTACAGTAATGCATTGACAATATTGTCATGTATATAGCATGGCTACCACGGCCACCGAAGGCGGCTGTGATTCACGCGTATAGGTGTAATGGCTACAGTCAGGCTATACATTACAGATAACATGTCTAATATGTTCATTTATGAGGTGTAAGCACAGGTAATTCAATGAATAAAATATTTCCCATACAGTCATCAGGAGAATATATTCATTCGTCATCGGAGTTATTATATTACAGTAGGACCTACTATATGTAAACTATGCTATGGTTTCTCTTCTTTTGGAACAACCTTTCATAATAGTATTAATCGTATTGGTTGATCTTTTGTGTTAAACACTTCCACGATTTCATCAGTGTAATGCAGATTAAATCCATGCTTTTATTTGAGAATAACCCGTCCTTCTGTGCCAATGAATAACCCTCTCTACAGGGTGTCCCGGAACTCTCCTACCAATATTTTAGGGCATTGATCCTGGGTAAGAAACGTACCTAAATATCATATTCAAATTGTCCGGAAAACCTTAGTTACTCACACAGCCGCCATTTTGTTTTTTTTTTTCAGTTATTAATTTTTTTTTCTAAAGAGTGGTTAAACATACGAAATAGAAACTTTGCACAAACATTAAATTTATAACAACTAGACAAAGCTGCAAAAAAATTATGGAGATTTTTCAAATTCATAAAACAAAATGGCGGCCATTTAAAATTTTTGTAAAATCAATGGTTTTTGAGCTATTTGAGAAAGAAAAGTTTAAATGGCCGCCATTTTGTTTTATGAATTTGAAAAATCTTCATAATTTTTTTGCAGCTTTGTCTAGTTGTCATAAATGTTCGTATGTTTAACCATATTCTTTATAAAAAATTTAATAACTAAAAAAAAACAAAATGGCGGCTGTGTGAGTATAACTAAGGACTTCCGGACAGTTTAAATATGATATTTAGTTATGTTTCTTACCCAGGAGCAATGCCCTAAAATATTGGTAGAGAGTTCCGGGACACCCTGTATAGTTCGGCACAGTAGTATAGTTTAGAGAAATTGATCGTGGGGTTTAAGAGGGCTCTAAGCCTTTACCAAACGGCTGAAAACACACCTCAGTATTACTCAAATTCTGAGCTTATTAAAGCACTTATTGACTTTCGGCGAACGGGAAAATGTTTCTAATGAAATAAACTAGGTTATTAGCATATTTTAAAGTATTTATTTTGTACGAGACATATTTTATTCTTAGTTAAAGCATAGATAAAACTTACTCCTCGTTAAAACCAATGAAAATTGGTTATCTCCTTCTACATAAACCTTAAACATTTAAAACAAAAAGAGAAAGTTTTTGCAGATGATTTCCCGCTCGGTAAATTCAAATTCAAATTGTTTATTTGGCCATTAAACATTACATAATAGGCTATGTCAATACATAATTCAATAAAATAAAAATAAACCATCATCAGAGATTGGTTAACAATAAAATCAAACCATGCTTAGTTTAAGTCAAATAGCAGACAAAATAAAAAGTTAAATAAATCAGATTCACAGGTAGGACTTCACAAGAACCAATAGTTAACTCATAAATTGAGTAAAATTTGTGAGGGTTGTTTCTGAAAAGCGCTTCGCAAAACGCCCCCGTACGAAGGACGCTTTGGCGAGCGTTGATGGAACTATCACTGCCAAGGAGATATTCGTCAGTGTTGCCAACCTGTTCTTTTGCCCATTAGGAAATGGGACGGATGTAGGTGTAATTCCCCAGAAAGGCTCACTGTGTCCATGAATTGGATAAAGACAAAATATTTGTCACTCGACCCATATCATAATTCTTGATAAATGGCTAAATCAAATTGCATTATATTCAGGCTTTTACCATTCAGAGAATAATATGATCGATATCATAAAAAATATGATTAAACCTAATAAATGGTAATACACAGACATTTGAATCAAATTAGTCCTTCCATAATTTTTTATTATTAGTTTTAGAAATTACTTAGTCAACTATGAAAAAATGTAAATAGAAGGAAAAAAGTAAAATAAAGAATGTATGTAAGTAAAAAACATTTATTTTTTATTTAATTATTTTTAGTAATAAAAACAACACAAATTAGACTAACAATCAGATATTTCATAACAACAAGAGTAGAAAGTGAGTCATTACCTATGTGAGACCATGTTGGAAGTGCGAGATTTATCGAGCACTTTATGCGGTCGAGAATATGTATAGTGTAGACCCACTTTCACTTCCGTTTTGAACGTTACTTTTCGCTACACTACAAAGACTTATCATTTTCTTAATTAAAACAGACATTGGATATTTCTTAATTACAGTTAATTACATTCTTTATTACCAGGAGCATTACAAAACTCATAGCACTTTTTTGTCATGCCTTCAATTTAAAGTTAATATTTACTTCGGTTGTACAGTTTTTGGTTTTTTTAAATTGAAACAGTTGAAAAAACAATAACAAATCATTGTTTGTTTACATCAGCAAAATAAAAAAGATAGTTAGGCCTACAATAGAGCTGGCACGTGGTCGAAAACTCAACCAAAAGTATATATTTTGCAAACTTCTCTATTTTCACCCCACGCTGTAAATAAAACATGTTGTGATTGGAATTACTTCAATTTGTTTTAATTTTCTGTTTATATTTTGTTGTTCTTTTGACACCAGCATGGCAACCCATTAGACCCATGTTAGTTTTTGTGAATTTCAAATTCATTTTTGTTCTTATTTTTGTGCAAAATATCTTTCATTTGGTACCAACCGCGTGTAATTTGGTCCAGTATGGTCAGGCTAGCTGTGATATTGTCATAAGTTTTGTAAAAGTCTTTTAGTATATAAGACAAGAGCTCACCTCGTGGTTGAAAACTCGACCAAAAGTATGTATTATGCAAACTTCTCTATTTTTACCCCACGCTGTAAATAAAACATGTGATTGGAATTCCTTCCATTTTCTTGTACTAATATTGGACATGTTAAAAAAATAATTTTTCTTTTTCTTTTTTTTAGCGAATTTCCCTATGAAGTAGCTATTACCATAGGTCTCATGGTAAGACCTAGGCCTGGGACCGATTTACTTTTTCATTTTGATGTCCCCAGAGGCCAAAAACACCATTCGTTCAAATTTTTATATATATATATGTGTGTGTGTGTGTGTCCATCCGCACGATAACTTGAGTAATTTTTGGTATAATAAAATTTGGTTTGAAAGTGTAAGGCTGGATAAACTTGAATGAGTTCGCAAACCAGCATGATCGGACCATGGGAACGGGGTTTAACAGGGGGTTTTATGGGGTAAAAATTGGTTTTTCTCATTTTTTACCCTTAAAGTACACAATTTATTGATTTTTCTCCAGACCTTTTTAAAGAGCTGAAAATAACAAATAATTTAGTACATCAAAGTGTTTTTGTACGATAATTGGTTACGGAGAAAATTCAAAAAATTGTTAATTTAAAATTCCCATGTTAATCTTATGGAGAATATTATGTTGTAGTTGGCTTGTTTATGGATAAATTGATCAAACTTGGCGCTTTCATTTATTTCATACTAAGCTATTGATATTTTAATAAAAAACACACTTTATTAGTTTCCCTGTAGCAGCTAACCTAGGTACTCGTTAAACATAAATGTTAATTTAATAGATTAATAATTAAAAATCAATCCAGGCAAATGGAAGTTCGCTAAGTCGGCAGGTTTGCTGCAGCGACTTGTGGACTCATCAACAATGATGAGTCCATAAAAGACTTTACTGTACTCAATTTGTCAAATACATAAATCTCTTATATTCCATAGAATTACAATGTAAACTCATAACGGTTTCCTAAATAAATAGAATGAGAAACATAAAGGGGACACAAAGCAAAACTTTACCAAAATACTTTATCAGGAACTTTCACACCCTGTTTTCTTAAATCCTCTTTTATTTGATCCATATCAATTTTCATTCTCTCTGGTTTTTCCTGTTTGTAATTAGGATCTCTTCGTTGCCTCCTCTTTTCCTGCATGACTCTCCTTTTTTCCTTTGCTTCATCTCTGCCATACAAAAACTGGACATCGCTATTGTTTCGGCAGTGAAACGTAAAATTTTCGACGAGAAATTTTTCTGTCAGTCCCATAGTAACAACACGGGATAGACCTCTTTGCATCCCATCCGTAGGCGCGTTCGCTGAAAAAAGTTAGTTTTTAGCAAATTACCCATAGGGAATAAGCTATTACCGTAGTACTCATGGTAAGACCTTGGGCCCGGGACCGATTTACTTTTTTCGTGTTGAGGTCCTTAGAGGCCAAAAACACCATCCGTTCATATTCATATATATATATACATACAGGGTGTTGAAAATGTCTGGAACCAACATTATATCTGGTGAGTGGTTAAAGAAAAACAAATGATATTTCGTGTACGGATATACTATGGTTTTACCTATCTTTTGGTGCCTTATGAAAATTTTTACCACTTATAGGGAACGTCCTGTGGAGGATGCAGTAATAAGTTTAAATGGAAGCCTATGGTAAATGATACATCATTTTAAAGGCCATTTTTTTCTGAGTAAGGAGCCACAAGTTTCATCTCAAAAGGACCACCCTAGCAAAAATGACGACTGTTTGAAATTTAAATAACCACTTATAGGGAACGTTCTGTGGAGGATGCAGTAAAAAGTTTTCATTGAAGCCTATGGTAAATGATACATCATTTTAAAGGCCATTTTTTTCTGAGTAAGGAGCCACAAGTTTCATCTCAAAAGGACCACCCTAGCAAAAATGACGACTGTTTGAAATTTAAATAACCACTTATAGGGAACGTTCTGTGGAGGATGCAGTAAAAAGTTTTCATTGAAGCCTATGGTAAATGATACATCATTTTAAAGGCCATTTTTTTCTGAGTAAGGAGCCTCAAGTTTCATCTCAAAAGGACCACCCTAGCGAAAATGGCGACTGTTTGAAATTTAAAAAATCCGTTCCCTATAAGTGGTTTTTTAAATTTCAAACAGTCGCCATTTTTGCTAGGGTGGTCCTTTTGAGATGAAACTTGTGGCTCCTTACTCAGAAAAAAATGACCTTAAAAATGATGTATCATTTACCATAGGCTTCCATTAAAACTTTTTACTGCATCCTCCACAGGACGTTCCCTATAAGTGGTAAAAATTTTCATAAGACACTAAAAGATAGGTAAAACCATAGTATATCCGTACACAAAATATCAGTTATTTTTCTTTAACCACTCACGAGATATAATGTTGGTTCCAGACATTTTCAACACCCTGTATATGTGTGTGTGTGTCCGTTAGCATGATAAACTCAAGCAAAAATGATCCGATTTTGATTAAATTTTGTATAAACGTGTAAACCTACATTTATTCAAAAGAGTTCTCAAACCAGCATGATCACCAGGACGGACTATAGGAACGGGGGTTTATGGGGGGTTTTATGGGGTTAACATGGATTTTTCCCAATTCGACCCAAAAAAACATAAAATTTAACAATTTTTTCTAAACCATTTTGTAGGGCTTAAAAAAAATTATATTGAAGCGTTATTATGCGCATAATGGTTAAGAGAAAATTCCAAAAAAGTGTTTAATTTAAAATTCTCATGTTATTCTTATGGAGAATAAGTAAACTGTTGTAGTTTGGTTGTTTATGAACATATTTTGATCAAATTTGGAAAATGCATTTATTTCTTACTAAACTAATAATATTAATTATTATTATTATTAATTATTATTATTATTAATTATTATTATTAATTATTATTATTAATTATTATTATTAATTATTATTATTAATTATTATTATTAATTATTATTATTAATTATTATTATTAATTATTATTATTAATTATTATTATACTGGACATTAACTAAAAATCATGAAAACAAACTTATCATTTTTGAGAACAAAATTTTGAGGAAGATTTTCGGACCTATAAATGAAGAAGGTATGTGGCGAATAAGAAAAAACCGAGAGCTCCGAGAACTGTACAAAGAACCGGGCATTGTAGCCATAGTGAAGAGTAGACGACTGAGATGGGCAGGCCATGTAGAAGGGAAGAAGAAAGAATGCTTAAGAAGATCGCCAATGGACAACCACGAGGCACTCGCCCGCTAGGAAGACCGAAGTTGAGATGGAGAGACCAAGTCCAGAAAGACCTACACAGAGTAGGGGCATCTCTTGACATGGCGGCAGATCGGCAGCAGTGGAGGCAACTTGTTGGCGAGGCCAAAAACCTTCTTAGGTTTGAGTGGCCAAGGAGGTAAGGTAAGGTAAACTAATAATATTTTACAAACAACTTTTTTATCCTCCCTGTTGCAGCAAACCTAAGTACTTGTTAAACTAATTCTATTTAAATAGGGAATAAAATGTCATATTTTTAAAGAGACATTTTAGTGTAAACCCAATCAGGCAAATATAAATTTGCTTAGTCTGCAGGTTTGCTGCGGGGGGGTTGATAAAAGATCTAACAAATTGTATATTTCATCACTAAGGGCGTAAAGTGACTTTTCTAGCAGAGCTCAATTGCACCATTATTTAAGCAAACTAAGCTACAAAACAATAGTTACTTGTGTAACTAGTGTGCAAAGTAGCCCTTTGCACTCGTGTTACACATTACCTATATTTTTCCTACAGTTACTATAAATCACATAAATAATAATTAATTAGGGTAGAAACAGACAGACAGCGAAACGAAGCAAGGGGAAGCAAAGCGACATGATCAATCACGTTATCAGGTTAGCGTGAACAGACAAAGTGCAACTGAGAGCGAAGCGAAGCAAACATCAGTGGAACAAGCACAATTTGGAGCGAAAACAGGTGGTGGTGACCAGTACAGCGCAATGGACATCGAACTAATTATCGTGTGTGTTTATGAAAAACCCGCTGTATGGCAGAATAAACACAACACTTTTCTTATAACTATGTGTAGTGGAACAGACCAAATTCATAAATTATATTCTCCTTTGTGGCTGAATATTGATGTTTGTCGCGACAAAAGATATGCAATTAAGATAAGGAGTTAACTGGCATTACCTGGTACAAAAAGGTCTATAGTGTGTTTGCAAGTTATTTATACTAGCTGATCATGTGGAGTGCATTTTTGTGTTAAGTATTGGTACTGAATTCGCTCCTACCTCGTCGCTTGTAATGTGTGTGATGTTATCGCTTTGCTCTCAAACGATTCGCTTCCCTTCTCTTCGCGTCGCGTCACCTCGCTTCGCATCGCCGTCTGTCTGTTTCTATCCTTATTCTTTCAAACACTGTACAACATGTTTTTAAGTTAGGTTAAATCCAAACATTGAACGAAATGCACTGAGCGATGCTGCACCAGCTGATCATTGTGGTATCTTTAAGTGTTGCCAACTTATTTTCAAGCGTAAACGGATTACGTGCATAATAAAACACGCTGTTTTGTGTTGTTTGGTTGGAATACTGGTGTTCGCCAAAGTAAAAACTGTGCGCCAAAGTAAGGCTTTCTGTACAATAATCTGTGCAAGGAAGCCCACTTTGTCGGGTGACTGTAGGAAAAAATACTTTTCATCACTTCGTAACGAAAGTAACTATTTTCGATAACAGCTGACATCAATGAAAGTAGTCGTTTCCCAAGCTAAGCTGATATTCCTTCGCTCTAAATTTACTTGCCCTCGCTCTCGATGAGTTCCCTATTTCCTCACTACGCACGCTATTGTTTTGTTACGGTTTAATTTAATGATTTAAATCAGCTGTATGTATTATTAAAAGTTGTTTTATTCTTTTATTTTGATGTTTAAAAAAAGTGTATTGATAAATATACATAGGTTTCCTTTAAGAAGATTTTATTTTATTTTAGGTAATGTTTGAACAAATTAATTGAAAAATAAAATAGTTGTAATTACTGAGGTCTGTTATTCTGTGTTTGTGTATTTTTGCGGCTTGATAAAAAGTATTGTTCATAACTCGTACCGAAAGTTATTTTCCGGCACTTGCTCCATTATTACCGTCATCGGCTTCACCTTGTACGAGAAAATAGCTCTCACATACTCGGCTTCGCCTCGCACGTGAAATTGGAGTTTTTATGTGTGAGGCTCCACACAAAAACTTTAGCATGCGCCGGGAAATGTCACTTTCGGTCCTATGCAATGAAATTGAAATATACTAATTCATGTTAAGAAACCTTTAAAAACAATTTCCAAATTGTTTTCAATTGTGCCAAAGCAAACAAAGCAGCTGTTTTAGTTAGTGATTCAATAATTTTAGTCTATTGAGTTAGTGTACATTATACTGTTGATATATCAAACTATCGACAAGAGTGCAACAATAAGTCACAATCGATGAAATCAATCATCATTTTGATATATGTGAACAATAGAAGTTTACAACAGCTGACGACTTTTACTCCGTAGGAACTAAAAAAGGCTTTTTACTCCCTGTGGATCAGAAAAAGAGCTACGGTACTTTAGACAAAAATGGTCAATGGTAATTGGTCATTGATTGAGTCAATTAGTTCCACATATACATAGGCATTTTTCAAATCAGAATCGTGAAAATAGTTGCCTGAATTAGCACTGTTGAGAGTCTTTGAAAATTGAATCTATTATACTGAGTTTATTAATTCCTACTGTGCTTCAACAATATTGTGTCACATGAACAAGTCTTTTTAGTTTCCTCAGGTTCTACCCACCCAAGGAAATGCTAACACAATGCTGTAATTATTTAGTTTTGGTTATCATACTCTGACAAGGTTTTTAATATTTTTTGTGCTCATCAACACACTTTCCAGTTCCAGGGTATTTACCATGCTTAAAATACCCTTCTTTAGATAATCTGGAAGGCCAAGAAGTATGCTTTCAAACAATTATGGTATTGAATGTTTTTTGTCCTTATATGTTTATAAATTACTACTACTTACAGTTCTTATCAATGAAAGCAACCTCAATGCTCCGTCCATAAAGTCTCTCACCACCTTTGATCATCTTTACATGTTCAGGAAGATAATGATGCCAACCCATGCATTCATAGACATAACCGTCCCCTCCAACTAGAAAACTGAATATTTAACATTTGATTATGAGTCGGTCGAGATGGAAATTATCAATTAATTCTATGTCCAACATTTTGGTGAAATAGTGAGTTATTAATTTTAGGAAATAATTAAAAAAAAACTAAAAAAACGATTTTATTTGGTTATACTCTATAGATTCTGATCCTGCCTATGTGTTTCAATAAACAAAATGTATATATACAGGTTTTTATGATTTCCTTAACACGGATAGCCTTTTACCGCTTTACTCCTACACAGTGTCGCATCTAGGGTACTTTGCGGACCTAGGACAAATCAACTTGAGTGTGGCTACTCTCTCCCCATAGGTTGATCGCCACAGAACCAAGAACATCTCCTACAATCACGTGGACCCCATCATTTTCACCCAGGAGTGCATCAAAATCATGAACATCTCCCACGATCACAAGAAAACCATCATCGTCACCTGTAATCGCGGCAAATTATTAGTTAAAAAAATAAAAAATAAAATTTTTGTTCTGAAAATTGTTTTTGTTTAATATGCTGTGGCAGTATTACACACCTACACCACATAATTAAAATAATCAAATACAGATTTGACGGTTTATTAAAAGCTCAATACATTGACTGAACCAAATAGTCAGAGCTTGAGCTTGAATAGCTGAGCCAAAGTTTGTAACCATAATAAAACTGCTACCGGTACTGACTTTTCTTAGAATCAAACTGGCTACCTTTTGATTGTCATGTGAGCACAATAACCACTAATCTATACCCAGCTACTTTACCTTTACAACAATCAAGTTTTTCCAACAATAAGTTTAATCAAGCTACAACACGAGTCAAGCTTTACTAACAGCACAGAATAAAGAGTGGCTATATATAGTTACCAAGTAATCTCACAAACTTACTTTAACTGTGTGTCAGGCTTTCCCTCCTTCCTAGCCAGTTGTTGCACCTCTCTAACACGTTCAATACATTCATCCTTTGTCTTACACCGTTTCTGTTCTGTGTATGAAAGAATTAACCCTCTCAGTGGAGTTTTCAGGGGTCGAGATTCAACTGGAAGATTCCCACCTTCCCAAACATCTCTGCAGACTAACTTGTAGAACTGACGTTCAAATGCTCCTTTGTACCTTCTTAATTCCTCCATTAACAACTGTAGATAACATTTTTTTTTCAATTTATAAAGATGTTAGTTCATATTTACCGTCAAATATTCAATGGTAATACTAAGTTTTATTCTTTCAAATGACAAAAAGGCGAATCATCATTGATTACATTGTTGAGCCATCTGGTTGATGGTCAGAATGAAATTGTGATCTTTCTTCAAGGTTGTCATGCAAAGTACCAAAAGGCACTCTGATAACATCAATTATAAAATAAGAAATTTGGTAGCCTATACCTAAATAAGGAAAGTGCAATTATACTGATAAAACTGTGTGCAAAGAAGAGACATTATTGCATCATTAGATTGCATGAAATTTAAAGGAGTTAACCTAAAGCATCAACCAAAAGGATGAGCAACCCTAACCCAACAGAACCTGATAAAGGGACTCGTTCACCTATTTATATTCCACAGTTTACTCTAACTTGGTCTGCATTTTATTTAAGCCTGAAAACTGCACACCTGATTATAATGCCAACTAAACAGCACAGTTGGCTATCACGCCATAAATAACACAGCTGACTATTATGTCGGAATAAACAGCCTCAGCTCAAGGCCCCACTAGGAAAACAGGCCATGCTGCAGGATCCATGACGTCACACTAGTGGATAGATTTCATTGATAAATTCATTGCCATCACCATTCCCATATGTTTTAGGTAAATAAACAAGCTGGTTGTTTGTCAGATTTTAATGGTAAGAGTTTAGTACAACTATCCACCACTGTGACGTAGTGTTGCGCTGCCCGTGCTGCAGCATGGCCTGTTTTTTCTAGTGGGGCCTTGCTCAGCTGTCATATCTTAAACAGCCACAGCACTATATATATCATGACTATATATCATGTCATAAACAGCACATTTTTCTATCGTATCATAAACAGCCCCAGGGGACTATCGTGACAAAAAGCCACAGCCCCACAGCTACTATCATATATGCCATAAACAGACACAGCTTTATGCAAACAGCATAGCTGAATAAGAGCCTTGCTAAATGTAAATGTAAGCAGTAGCCTTCAGTAGATTATCGCAGACTGTCCTACAGCTATTATAGCTAGTATTCGATATTTTCTCCTTATGGTACAAAAGTGAAATGACAAACTTTCCTTATGTCTCGCTAAAATAATATTTAGGTCCATTAAGCTTGATACCCAAAATCCAAATTACATTTTGTTTGCTGTGTTATAAATGTCAAATATATGCTGTAGTAAGAGTAGTAAGCTACAGTAGTTACTTATTGACATGAAGTGTGTACTCACATTCAATTAATTCCTTGAAGAAAACTATGGGTTGTTGTACATTTACAAAATAAAAGGGGAGAGCACATCTTAAATGTGTCATTTGGTTCAACAACACATGACAATGTAGGTAAAAGTAAAGAAAGAAAACAATTTAAACTAAAACACAATGTGATAGTTAATTAATTCTTAAATATATATAAAAACAAATTTACAGTTTACATATTCATGAATAGTATGTGACTGTGAAATGTTATTGCTACTTTATCATTTAAATTCTGTTTACTGATGAATGTGCCTCTTATCTACTATTATGATATTATGAAACTGAAACTAGATAATCTTTATCACACACTGATTTTTATTTTACAAAATGTGTTTATTTGGAAAATAGTTTTAAAACTGTTATCTAAAACTTAAAAGAAGTTGTTATACAAATTATTAAGACACTGCCATTTAAGGAAGCTTAACGCTTCCTGGATGGGCGATATCGTGACATAGAACGGGAAAAAATTATAGGAAAAAATAAAAATTAATTTTCCTTATTTGTGTTTTGTTATACAAGTTGACATAACATAAACACAATGAAACACTTCATACAAAAAATAATTTTTTACTCGTTTTTAACTATGCGGATATATCCGCTACCCTACCCGTCCGCGTATGAGTAGAAAAGCAGCGGATATATCCGCCACCCGTCTTTAAAGATATGACCATGACAATGTTAGGCAATAAATAAAGAACAATATGTAAACAATAAATAAAGACGAGTAGTGTTGAGCGTGAAACGTCGAGGGGGGAGCGTAGGAGATGTTGGGGGTGCGCGGGAGGGGGGGGCTGGCGTGGGTGAGAGGGGGGAGTGCGCGAGTGAGCGCAGCCATGGAGAGAGCAGGAAAGTGGTGCCTTGGTACAGCAAAACATGGTTACTGCTCAAGCACCTGCCAGTCTGTCTGAAGAGAAAGGCGGATATATCCGTCACCCGTCCGGGAAGGGTTAATCTCCCAAAGCTATTTCAGAAAAAATAACGTACCATATTTGTTTCATAAGGCCAATATGTAAAAATGTTACAGGCCTACTCTGTATGGTGGAGCTCTACTTTAGTTAAATTTAAAAACTTTAGGATGGAAATCAAGTTGCCTACTGAATCTTAATTAATGATTATTGGATGTCCAAAAAACAAAAATACCAAAGTTTAAGGGTTGTAAAACCCCTAATCCATCATTCAATTGTAGGGTTTTATTTTTAGTTTAATAATTGCCTTCGGGTGGCCCAAAAAACAGGGCAATTTGAAAATAATTATGCTGAATTTCAGCTGTTATAAAGGCTGGAGAGTTCATTGATGCGGCAAATGAATATTTATTTGATGCCTTTAAATGTATAGTTAACTATGGATCATCAATGGTTACCGCAACATCGTGCCTTTGACCTAGAGACTTTTTTGAAGAATAATTATTTGGGTATCATTTCTACTCAACGTCAATTTCGTTTGGCCGTAATGGTGCAACCCCAAACCGAAAAACTATTCAAAGTTGGATAAAGTAATTTCCAGAACACGGCTTCTGTACTCAAAAGCAAACCAAGTAGGAGACCTCGGAATGTTCGAACGCCGGAAAACATTGAAAAAGTTCGCGCAATTGTGCTGAGCTTCGAGCGTCAAGTCATCTATTTGCAGAACATTGCATTTAAATTTAAATTTGCATAGGTTTAATTTTGAGCACAGAAGCCGTGTTCAGGAAATTACTTACCCATCTTATTTGAGTAGTTTTTTGGTTTGTTGTTGCACCATTACGGCCGACATCGAAGTGAACACAAAACTGACGTTGAGTAGAAATGATAGAAACATCCCAAGTAGCACACATCGTTGGCCCTACGTTGGGAAATGGTCGGCACGGTTGGGAAATGGTTGGCAGAAATTTTAACGATTTGCCAACGTTGGCCCAACGGAAACTGGTATTCGTTGGCCCTACAAAGGAAAGAATCGTTGGGCCTTCTTTGGGCATTCGTTATGTTTAAGTATAAAACATTCTAAAACGAATTTTAACAAATTGATTTATTTAAAAGTACATAAATGTTATGGCATCAGAATATAAGACAAATATTGTAAAAAATTGGATCAATAATGAATGTAGTCAGACTCTTGAAAAAGTCTCTATGACAAAGGCACGACGTTGCGTCAACCACTGATGATCAATGGTAACGATACACCAAATGGCATCAAATAAACATTCATTTGCCACAACAAAGAATTCTCTAGCTGTTATAACAGCTGAGTAATAAAATTTTAAATATTGTCCCTGTTTTTTTGGGTCACCCCCTAACACCCCGTATATTGAAATATGTTATGTTACATACGCACTTGAAAATTCGAAATTTAATATAGGGCTATTTAATGATTAATGAATATGTAATAAGTTCTATATCTATATTATAATTTCTAAAGGGCTTTATTTTTGTCGGTACGCCAAACCTCCTTATATTTTCACTAATTTCCATAAATAAGGTATCATTTTAAAGCTTTTTTTACCCACTACACCAGTCCAAGGTCAATACCGGAGGTGGCTCAGGCATCTTCCTGTTATAAAATTCCATTAATTTGGTTTTACTTTTAATATTAGGCCGAGATGATTTTTGCTACACCAAGTTGACATTTCAAGCAAGATCGTTTTAAACGAGGTTTTAAATGACTATGAAAAAAAACAAATTCTAAACAAAACACGACCTCTAGTGCAGCGGACAGAGCAACAGAATTCTGAAAAATATTGGCTTCAGTTGTTCTATAAGGATGAGAAATCCACTAAGGGAGTATATTTTATTTATGATCAAACTAAACCTATGCCTCCTCCAGACATTATTATGGATACCTATCCAGAAATTATTTTATGGATATTATTTCCATAAAATAATTTATTGTATTATAGTACACTGTAGATTTTATTTTGCTAAGGAGAAGTGTTAATTTGGTTGGGTTTGCTTTTACGCCCTTCCTGTCTTCTGTCAATGCCTGGCTCTAATAGCAACTTTACAACTTTACAGCTGTTTACAATTATTTAGGTACGGAGGACAGACAAAACTCAGAAGACAGAACAGAACACAATGTCGTTTAATTGGTTTTCGTTATGTTATTTTATCTAGTCGATTTTACAGTAAATATGTACGTTTGTTGTCTTATAACTCGACATGTTCTATCAAATAGTGTCGCAGAATAGCTTCTCAAAGTGTGTGAAACTCCTAATTAGCTCTATGTTTCTCGGTTTGTACTGTGATAAGGACACGGACACCTACCTTAGCGGCATTCGACCACCTCGAAGTGTAGATTTTTAGACTTGGTGAAATCTATAGATTCCATACATAATGAATCACATCGCTCAGTATCGTAATGGCCTACACCAAATACACCACAACCCTTGCCCTCCTATCCACAATTTCACCGGAAGGTTCCCTTCCCCCAACTTAGGTCCTTTACCTGATAATGTTATGATACCTCAAATAGTTGCTGAAGGAACAATACAGTACCACAATGGGCCTTTACAGCCTTTTCTTTCTACTCCAGATAATAGAGCACAACAACAGCAGCAGCAACAAAATGATGATAGTTCAAAAGTTTCAAGTCATCGGAAACAGACAATGAGTATCAGGAGTTTTCAGACTGTCCAGACTCCTATTATTGCTACACCTACCTGTTCAACACAGCAGGAACCACCACCAAAAGCCGCAGAAACTGGTAGTTGTAATGATAACAATTATAAACCCCCTCAGACATCCAATGTTGATAATCACCAGTTTGTTCAACATTGTGACCAAGGTCCAAAAAGTTGTGTGCAGTGTTATAATCTATTAAAAGGTGAAACTTCGGGCCCTGTCATCAAGGTAATGGTTGATGCTGCTACAATGACCGATCAGGATGAAATGGACCAGACAGGGAATTGGTCTGTTGTGTCTAACTCCTCGCCCCCGCCTAACACCAAAGTCACCGAGTATCTAAGTAGTTTACGTCAATTCTTGAAGGTTGACCAAAAGGTAAGTTGCTTGTACTTAAGTAAGTTAGGCTAGTTGACTTTTGTAAGGGTGATAAATTTAATAACTGAAACATAGGCCTGAATAAGATTTTTTTAAGTTAACTTGGCCTACTGTACCCTATTGATTTTTTTTATTAAGTTATTATGGGTATATTCAAGAAGATGGCCGCCCGCCACTCATTAAAAGTGTGCTTTGGCATACCGGTATAGGCTAAGTAGCTTAGGTTAGATCAGATTAGTTTATGATACCGGTAACTTAACCCTTTTAAAGTGCTATGCAACGATATCTTATATTGTTGTGCGTCTTTTCCCCAAAATGTGCTATGGAACGATATATTGTTGTTCGCGTTACATCCCAAAAGTGCTAACGACTTTCGACCGTGTGAGTTTAAATGGGCATTTTGATTGACTCAGTTGTTGTTTCGAAACAGCGATGGTTTCTTTTACGATCAAGGCAATAACTTATACCGTAGGCCTAAGTTATCGTTCCTTAAGTAGGGGTATGAGAGTTAACAAAATAACTAATTTTTAAAACTAACCGTAGGTGGTTTGGTTTTCTAGTAACAACATTCTGTACTCCATAATCTTTTTCCTTATGATTCATAATTAATTATACATAATGATAATAGAAACAATTAGTTGGCCTTCCAAGTAGGCTACCTTTGAAGCTAATATCGACTCGTGTGGATATTTTACCTTAAAATGAAACAAATCGTAGGCATAACTAATCCATCACCACGGTGTATCATATCGCCCTAAAGTTCATGTGTAGGTCTTAATACATTTTAATCCTACCGGTACCTTCTATTATAAAATATTCTTCCATTGTAAGGTGTAGAGGTAGGCCTACCAGTATTGTAAAGTAATAAGTCTAGGCTATATGGTTCAATAGTGGTTCAATTGTGGTTCTATTGTGTTGATTACCTGAACCTGTTCATCTGATGTGTCGGTTAAAAAACGAAATAGGCTAATACATAAAGGATAAATTAAACTAGCCTTGGTGATAAAAATTAGTATTAGGCCTACTTGATCCTAGGGTTGCTTAATCACCGGATTTCCCCCAGAAATTAACTTACCAGATTTTGAAGTTCAAAATTTAGCTCCAGGAAATTTCTGCAATCTTCTCTTTTTTACTCTTGACTAAAATACATAAAGTAACAGCAGTTTTGGAGTTTTAAGATGGAAGTTTGCGTTTGCAAATATCGTGATGTACAATTCAATGACTGTCGACTGAAGATGCAACTCTCATTCTCTTTCCTAACTTTTTTTATTCCTTGGTTTCACTTTGGCTAGCAACATCCTTAGTTTATCGTCTGCATTGCTCCCAGTCCTTCAATTCCCATCTGCCGGCTAGTCTGTAAGTACCGTACCCGATCCGGGTGTTCACCATCGAAGGTGAAAGGAGTCTAGCAGACAGAGAACCATTTGTTTACATTATTGTATACAGGCGTATGTTTGCTTATGTTAATTTTGGTTATTCGTAGTTTTTTGTGAGATATGAGATGCAAGATGCATCATTTTATGATTTTGCATACGATATTTGAATATTGACAATTTAGCACAATAAACAAATGACATCACTGGCCCGAATGTCTGTAGGCTACTACAGTACTAATATCGAAGTCCATATCAAGTCAACTGGCTTGGATATTTTTTGTTTTGACAGTTAGGCCTACATTTAAATAAATATTAATAAAAAAAATTTACTATTTACCTACATTTGGGTCATTGACATAGGCTAGATTGTTTAGATTCGAATACAGTTTCTGTTAGGTATCCAAGTTTGCTAACCTGTTAATTTTTATTCACCAGTGGAAGCTGTCGTTTAAAATCTCCTCTTTAAGTTTGGAGTGTACTCTGCTATACGTACTCTGCTTTGTTTCAGCCTCATGAAAGCAGAAAACAAAGACAAGGTGATGTGAGGATCGTCACCTCCCCAGATGGAACTAGGTTGTATTTTTGTCCTGAGTGCCATGCAGCTTATCCTGACAAAAATTTACTCGAGCCTCATCTAGCAGCCCATAAAATTGAGCGAAGGTTAGAAAATTGTACAGTTACTGTATATGGAAAGTTGTTTTCTTTCTAAATCCGAATACAAACTGTGGAATGATTGTTCTTGAGTCACAAAAGGGTAAATTAGCATCTCTTCTAATAGTGAATATTCCACATCCACGGCACTGCAAAAGTAGCCTACCTAGGTATCTAAATCAAGGAATGATGGGGTCACTTGAAACTTTTTTCTTTTGATTGAACCTGTTAACTATGATAAGCTAGAGGCCTTTGGCATACCTTGTGGATGATAAGCTCTATACACAGGTACTATAGTCCTGTTTCTTATTTTCAACATATTTTAAATTTTAATTTTTGAATGAACTAACATTTTTTGCAATGTTAATAACCATTATTATTCATTACCTTTCACTAACTGTAACTGTAAGGGTAGAAACACACATACGGCGATTGGGAGTGGAGCGGGCGGGGCGATTCAGAGCGAGCTGTAGCGGTGCGACTGAGAGCGACTTACGTCGCGCACACATACAGCGACTAGCGAGAGCGACACGAACGGGAGCTCGATCATTTTCAAGATACAACGATCACATAAGACCTAGATGGAGCACGTTAGTCGTGACGTGAAGCCAGTATTTTTCATTAATCTTCACCAAGATGGCGGCTGCCGGCTGTAAATACCCTACTAATAGCGGGCGCAACTAATTAAATGTTAGTTTATATCAATGATATCCGTGACAATACGCCTTTGTACCTATAAATATTTCTATTACTAACACCATGACCTTCGAAATACGCTTTTAAGTTTTTTCTAGCATTTACTGTTTCTTAGAAAAAGTTAGTTTACATAATTGATAACAAAGATTGTTGTCAATTTATTTTATGATATATGTATCTATATCGTATAAAAGTTTGATAAAGTTCTGGCGTTTGGTTTACAATGTAAAAATTTTTAAAGTCACAAGATAGTTTCTGAAACTAGAATGGGCGTACAGAGCGGCCTAGTGGCGAAAGTGGAACTAAAAATGTCCACAATATCACTGCCCGCTCCGCTCCAAAACGCTAGAAAAACAAACGAGATTGTTCCAAAGTTCCCCGCTACGCTCGCAACAGCGATTTGTGTGCGCGTTACTACTTGATTGTATAGGTTTGATTTTGTCGCTCTAAATCGCGCCGCTCCGCTCCTAGTCGCTGTATGTGTGTTTCTACCCTAAGTTGTAATGCTTTAGTTTTTCAACAAACCTATCCCATGTGCTACCACCAAAACTATGAAATTAGTAAAGGCATCTTTCCCCTGTCCTGCTCCACAATTTGCTAGTGTTAATTAGGTCTGTATTTTTTGTTATGTTTTTCTTTCCCGGTTAGAGATTCCACTTAGATAATTTATCCTTATAAATTGTAATTCTAGGCCTATCCTTATGAATTGAAGGCCGACTTCTAAAGATTTTTATATTTTTCTTTCATCCTTCATGCCCCTGTCCCGTCCTAACCACTATTAGCTTCAGGTAATACAATTACTGTGTTACCAATATTATTAATGAATTTCATCTACATCAAGGTAGAGGTATTTTGTATTTACTTGGTATTGTATTTTAAGGTTTATCTGCAACGTATGTGGTGCCGGCTTGAAACGTAAGGAACATCTAGACAGACACCAGTTGAGTCACAGTGACGAACGGCCGTACAGGTGAACATATTTATTTTAAACTTAGCTTAAGTCTTTGGGTTGTGTTGTTGAAAATTGAAAACACTCATTCTTAAGAAGTACATGATGGTCCTACATTAAAGCACATTACAAGCTCTTCAATTGTAATAATGAAAGTAATGTAGTCAGTTTTTTTGTCAAAACCAATAAAATATCTACTTAGCTGAAACTCTAAACTAGAAGAATGCTGTTTGGTCAATGTAGGTACCTATATTTGAAGTTTTGACTTGCGGAAAACAGTGAATGTTTTAAGATAAATCATTTTATTCTCATTCATAACTGGCTGCTATTCTCATGCTTTGCAATGGGAGGGAACAAGGAGGAGAAACAATTGGGCTATAAAAATCTACTGTATGAAATAATTGCACATCCATCATAGATTGTAGGAATGAAATTTAACTGCACTGCTAAAGGATAAGATAAAAATAAATAAAATGGCAACCATACTTCTGGTTGCCAAATCTCCTCCAACACTAATATTGGCTTGTATTTCAACCAAACCTGACAATATGGCAGTCTAGTAGAGGACTAAATTGGGCAGTTCATTATTGAAACTGGCTGAACATTGCTCATGAAAAATTATAAAGTTATAAAATGTAAATTGCTTATGAAATAAACTCTATAAAAAGTTCAACTTTTTTAACAACAAATTTCTTTAGCCTATAATAGATACTATCACTTAAAAATAAGGTAGGTGCTCTGTTTGGTAATTATTTTAATTAAGTAGGCCTATTGAAATCTAACAAATTTCTAAATTCACCTGGTGAGGTGAAGGGTGAATTTTTTAAGCTCCTCACTTGTCAAAAGCACTTGTACTTAAGCATTCACTGTCTGCTTCCTTTTACCAATACATTTCTTTTACTCTCCTTTGTCCAAAATAGTAAGTTAGTAGAGTTTTTATTAGGTAAAGTAGATTCTTGATTGGGGAAATTGACTTAAAACACGACAAGATTAGATAAGTTGGTTGGTAGCTTGAATAATTATAAAATGTGTTTTTGTAAAAAATAAAAACGTTAAAAATCAATAAATGAGTTTAACGTTTTTCTGCTGGCAAACAAAATTTTTGGCAAGTCTTTAAAATACACTTTAATTGAAACCATTAATTATCTTTGTTTTGAGGACATACTCACAAATTACATAAAGCGTACTAAGTAGGCCTAAAAACACTAAGACTGTAACTAAAATATTAGATAAAATTATGCTCAGCCACAAGATTTGAGGGATAGAAAAAGAGAGAACTATACAAGTATGAGGAGTTGACGTTCTGTGTAGTGTGCACAGTGCTATAAAACTGTGAGAAAGCACAGTCACGAGTGGGTGCCTCTACCCCTGACAAGTATACTCCGAGTACAGACATGGGTAGTTAAAAGAGTTGTCTCATCATACCGACTACGCTTTAGGGTCTACCCTCATACCACATGGAAATAACACTCAATTTCACAGTATTCTAGTGTTCACATGAAGAGTTGGATAGCTGAAATTTGAACAATCCAACAATCGTGACTATGGTATGGCTATGACGCTATCAACTCAACGATTTGATTTGTTTGATCTAACCTTATCACACACATCTTTTACTTCCAGCTGCGGAGTTTGCTCGAAGACCTTCAAGCGGAACGAGCACCTTTCCCGTCACAGCATCATCCACTCAGGCCTCAAGGCGCAGGTGTGTACAGAGTGTGGGAAGGGGTTTTATCGAAGTGACCATCTGCGCAAACATCTCATGGGCCACCGTTTCCAGCGACAACGGACGCCAAAAACCAAACAACCTCAAAACGTTCACCCTCTGCCTCAGTCTCAAATCATGCCAAATGTGCAACAGCAGGGTGACAGCTTGAATCATACGTCCTCAGGATCTGTCTCGGGTCCGATGTTGTTTATGGAGGCCACAAAATATAATTAGAGTTAGGTTACTAGGTTGGTACTGCAAGAGCACCTAACACCATTGTTCGAAAATGGTTCCAGGCTGCGTGGTAGGTCAAAAGCAATGGTTAATTTAATCCCCCTTAACTAGGCACCCTCAGTTTTTAAAAGGTAATCAGATCTCAATGTCAGTTTAGTTTTATTTATTGTATATTCAAGTGAAATATAACGTCTAATAAGCCTATTTGTTTTATCAATTCAAAATCTTAACGTCTACTTGTTTAGTTGTAAAAATAGAAGGCTGAGTTATTTGTACTTTTTAATTTTTTCGGGCTGTATCTTGTGTTAAGATAAATTACACATATGTAAATTTGTTCTATGGTATCAAGTCCAAAATATACCCTGCCACAAAAAAAATAAGTCAACCAAGTTTATCCTTGTCTTAAGTGTGATTATGAATAGAGAGTTGTAAAGTAAAATCTGCACTCCCAGTTTAACGTTTTTGTAAAATATGCATAAATTGCATCAGACAACAACAAGAAACAACTCTGTTAGTTCTGATAAGTGTATTGGTGGCAAGTGTGCAATGTAGGCCTGCAAACAAAACATACTGGAACGAGACAAAATAGATATCTTCCCTCTATGTAGACCGTAGTCCATAAAATGAATTTGTAAATAAAATATCCATAGAATAACAAATTCCCCTTGTTAGTTCATATTTAATTCTCTAAACTTTTGACTCCAAAAGCATAAAAAAATTATACCTTACCTTTTTACTCACAATTGTTAAGCTCAATAAATCTTAAGTGATTTTACACTCTTGTAAACAATATTGATCTGAAATATCTCTACCACGACAATTCGAAAATATTAAGTATCTCCTAGTTTAGGTTACTCTCAAGACTATGTTATCGCACACTTATTCGGATCGAATCGAACCGTAAGTTTTTCATGTTAGCTACTGTAAATCAAACCAACCATTAAGTATTTCACTATATTTGTTACATATTTTAAGTCAAGTTAGGTTTGACTCCCTCCCAATAAGTGTGCTTGTGAGAAAATATGTAGTAGAAATAAAATGGTTCGATTCGGTCCGGCGGTGTGCGATGGAAAGTTTGACTTGAGATGACTTTGATCGTTTTACTCACCAGAGAGAGCGACCTTGGATCTGTGGAGTTTGCGGCGCAGCTCACGTACGAAAGGAACATCTAGACAGACATCAGCTGACGCACACAGACGAACGGCCGTATCCATGTCCGCTGTGTCCGAAGGCGTTCAAACACAACGAACACCTGTCACGACACCTGGTCATTCACAGTGGACACAAGACGCAGGTGTGTAACGAGTGTGGGAAGATGTTTTACCGAAAGGACCATCTAAGGAAGCACTCGGAGAGTCACCGCAACAAACGGTTGAAACAGGAACACCAGGCTTTGGTCCCAGGGATGTAGGTTAGGTCGTTGCTGTAACATCGTGAAGCGTAGGTTTTGTCTTTTCTGAAGCTAAATTGGAATAGAAGTTAATCAACACTAGTAAAATTAAAGTCAGAAATTGCTGGAAAATTCAATGAAGGGAATATGATTGGGGTCTGACCATTATTTCATAATAGCTGGTAACAAAAACTCATGTCATAGTGTTTTTGACTCAAAGTTCCATTTAAATGGAAAATAAATTGCATTAAGTAACAGAAGCTATGAATGTTAATTTACTGCAAATTGGAGGATAGAGCTTTTGACGAAGTAACTATACCTGACCTTAAATAATAATGTTGTACATTTGCTGGTTTTGTTGCAATTAAACCGCCAAGAATTTCTTGTTTTATGAGAAAATAATTGGTTGAATCCTGAGGAAAACCACTACAGTAGACTGCCGGACATCGCTGTTATCCGGACATCGGTTTAACTGGACTACACTCGGCTGAAATGACACCGGACAATTTTCATCAGCACATCGGTTTAACCGGAGTGGATCGGCAGGAAGTGGGCGGTACTGAAACAACTGTTCTCGTGGGAAATATTTGAGACCAGTGATCACGTGTCTAAATACAATGCTCTCCTAAATTTAAGTCAAATATGTATACAGTATGCATTTAAACAGTCCGTTTTAACGAGTTTTTGGGGACGTCGGTTTAACCCGAAAAACTGTTATCCGGATTGGCCTTGGTCCCGAGGAGTCCGGATAAGAGGGAGTCTACTGTAGTTTGATAAATTATAAACCCAATTTTGAGTTCAGTTTATGGTAAATGCTGATCTGGTGTCTGATCCCATTATGTTTCAAAAGTATGATTGAGGATATTAAAGCAAAAATCTAAAACATGGTCTGCTATTACATTGATCTCATAGTTACGATTTATAGATTAGCTTAGTTACAAACCAATTATTAGTATTTACTTGATGAAAGCCTGGTGAGGATAAGATTAAGATTTACTACTTCTTTTTTAGAAAAAATGTTGAGTATTTTCTCAAAACTTTTTGATCTGTTTATACTGTGTGTATGTTGGGCTGAATCATGATGTAGATTCATGTAAAAAAAATACCATTAGGTTAGATGCTACGTCAGAAACATTTAAATTTTAAAATGTACCTCAGCAAATATTTATGAAACTAGCAAACAGTAAAAATAGGTCATACTGATACGCTCTCTTGTTTGTTAGCTGTCAACCATCCAATGATTCTATAAAATGTCTTCAGAAAATGTATTTATAGAATACGTAATACTTTCTTAAAATAATTTTGCTTTGTTGTTCAGTTATGCTTTGCTGCGGCATTTTGGCATATCTGAGTAGGCGCTGTTTCATGAAAAATGTATATAAACTAAGGAGCACAAACTAACCATGATAACGCAACAACACAAATTACATGTAATGTTTCTTTTTGCCTTTCTACACCAATAATTTCTGGTAAAAGTCTGTTATCTTGATTTCAAGATTTTTTTATAAATTAGTTTACTGGTCGACTAGAGAGATTGATTTGAAAATAGGTTAGACTTTGTTCTGTGTATTGTATTTATTGATTTTGATTGGCTGTTATATTCATGAACATCATCATTGTATGAACATAAACCTATGCGTGAAATCCAGTGTTAATATTAATCATTTGAAAAATCCATATATCGTATATAATAATGAATTGCGTAAATAATAGTAATTAAAACAAAACAATATACGATTGTGCATTTGAGTAGTTCTAATTTACTAAATATTTATATGATTTTTTTACTCTTGTAACAATCATCACAACTCATAGAAAACATGTTATAATTAATAGAAACACTTAAAACAAAAAGAACAGGCTTGCATCTGATGGCATTATTGATATGTAGAGTGTTCAAATGCATGCAGAAAGATTTCTTTTAGTGAGACCCTTGTGTCCGACCCCCTAATCATGCTTAAAAAACAATACAAAATAAAGCAGTGTTTCAAATTTTATACCAATATACTCAGTTGTATTTAAGAAAAATCGTATTTCCAAAAACACTCTTTTGCATGTAAAACTTGTTTCGGAGACGGAATCTTTAGTACTAAGCAGTTTTTAAAATGTCGCACATTTATTTGAACCTAATTGATCTTTACCTTATGACAGTCAACCAAATCTAATTAAAATGTTAACAATTAACATACTATTTTTACTTTGTTGCACACTCTGGAAGAGGAGCTAGAAACAGAAAAGGTAGAAGCCAAATCAGTTTTCACACCTCTTTCAGGATCAGTTTATACTCAAATTTTAAGTTATTAGAAAACTTTAATAGTTTGGTCAAGTGAGTGTGTGACATTGGATTTTACATTGATTTGTAAAATTATCTTCAAACTTGCAAGTTTGAGTTTTCAGGTGGCGGGTCAGTTCGGTTCGATAAATTGCGACTGATTACTTTCCAAGTTTGTTGCTTTGCCAGGAAAATGAAACGCTACATTCTTATGTTGCTTTATCCACCCAATCAAAGTGTCACTATACCAATACTGTACTACTTAGTACTTACAATACCCTAGACTTAATCCCTGAAAGCATTTTTACTTACATGCAGTTGTAGCTAAAATATTATTTAGCTATCACATAGAAAAATTGGAATAAGTTTAACTAACAATTAGAATCTCAATTGCCTACTCTATAGCTATTCAACATTTTCTTTTAAGCTTATTGCCGGTTTTTAAAGTTGAACACTAAGCAAAAGGTTTTCTTATCTAAACTTTTTTATAATTAAGGTACCATAGTATATTTGTATATTATAAAAAATAAATATTGTTTAAATTTCCCTTTAAAAAATCCTTAAGTACGCAACCCTTACTGTTGCAAAGTTGCTAAACAATGGTTAATGACTAATTAATTAGTAGAAAGCTAAAATGTTCAAGGTGTTTAAGACAAACAAGTTTCTATCTCATATAGGAAAATCCAATCCATATACAATCCATACACCCTCTCAGAGGTATGGCATTTATCAAAATAGCATTACTTAACTTGCATAAATATTAAACAGCATCACTTATTGAACAAAAGATTATTTTCTTTTTCCTGTATGCTTTTCAGATGTTTGTTGTTTTTTTGCAGTTTTCCAGCATTTAAGCAGTATTTTTAGTTTTAAATGTAAGCAAATAAGCATCAGCCAACATATTTTTATATCAGTATAAATTTAAATTCTTTTTTAAATGAGACCTAAATTGTTTTAGTTATCCAACTGTTAAAAAACTTTTTTTGCAAAAGTTAACACATATTCAAATAATAAGATGAATTTGATTTGTGAAATCCTAGTTTTCCAGTTAATGCACTCACCTTTGATTAAATAACATTTTGTAAGACAAACTAAATATTTTCCTGGCAAAACAGCCACTAACCGTGAAATATTTTCTGGTAGGATCGACCTTGGGTGTGTGGCGTGTGCGGGACGGGACACGCTCGCAAGGAGCATCTGGAACGGCACCAGGTGACGCACTCGGACGTGCGACCGCATGCGTGTCCCGCGTGTCCCAAGATGTTCAAACGCAACGAGCACCTGACCCGCCATCTGGTGATACATAGCGGACAGAAGACAGAGCTGTGTAGGGAATGTGGGAAGACATTCTACCGTAAGGATCATCTGAGAAAGCACGCGGAGAGTCATCACAAGAAACGGACAAAGCAGATGATGACTCAACCTATGCCGACTCAGACACTGCCCATGCTAATGCCGCCACCTGTACCATCAACAGTGTAAACAAACATTCTAACCACTCAAGTTTTGAGGTTTGATAGACCAATGAATGTAAACTAATTTCCTTTTAGAAAATAAGGTCTCAATCAATTTTATCACATGCACTTTACCTTTGACTGAAGAAAACATATGGCAGAGCCAATTATTAGCATAGACTAACCAACACAAGTAGAATTCTCATCCCATTGTAAATTTGATGCTCGTTTTTCGTGTCTAGTTTATGTCCGGTGACACTGATAGCTAGTGTTGACAAAATTTTGTTTCTATTATTATAGGGTTAATTTCATGATTTGTCCTTTACTATTTGGTTATAACTAGTGAACGAGTTATGGTTTGTGATTACATCGTTTTATTTGGTTAAACGATAATTCAAATGACTGAAATAATAAGAAACAAATTGCAAACAAAACTCAACCTCTACTGTGCACCAGACGGAACTAACAATACAATTTTCTTCAGCTGGTCCATAAGGATGAAAAATATATCAAGGGAGTATGTTTTATCATTGGCTATTAGATAGTCAAAGGTTTTATCTATGGTAATAGTTATGCCTGAATTAGTGAGAGCCACAATTTATTGGTTAGGGACTGATAAGGCACCAAGAAAGTATGAGGTAGTGATTGCTTCTTCTTTTTTACAAAACATTTATATAAATCATTCACTCCTGTAGCAGCAATTGTCAACAACATAAGGCTCACAACTTCACCTGACATTGAATCGTGGCTCACATTAACCTCAGCATTTTCATCAATATCGATTGTGTATTGTGCTAAAAATCAAATCACTCAACATAAAACTTTAAGTCATATTTTCTTAAACAGAAAAAGAGTCTATATACTTTACATGATTGCCGTACTTTTAAAAATAAGATTGAAAGCTATTAAAGATATGATGTATCAAATTAAAAATCAAATGTGTCAAAGATATAGGTATTGTCAAGGATTACAGTATTTAAAATTGTGTTCTATCAGCTCAAACATTAAAAATGATCAAGATGATTGTGATATAATTGTTTGTCAGTGATTTTATTAGGAATTTACATAAAGCTTATTCTAGTGATTATCTGATTATATTTTGGTTGTTGCTTGAATTTGTATTTAGGTACTATGTTTTTTTTATTTAATTTGATGACAGCTATTTAATTAGATGTTAAGTTTTTATTTGATTTTTTATACAAAATCTACCATGATTTTAAGAATAACTTTATTGAGCTACTTTAGTCAAAATGTATGTTATATTAACAAAAAACTTGTTTACTTGAGAAAAACATTTTTATTCAAGGAAACTTTCTAATGGACTGCCTTTATTTATCCTTATATATAATACGTGAAGGCGATTTCTACAAAACACTTTTGTTGTGTGCCTAAAATTATAGCTTTTTTATTTTTAAAGTGAAGTCTCGGGGCAAGAGGCACTTGCTTCAAACACAGTATTTTTAAAGAATGATAATTTGTTTAATTAATTTCATAGGGAGTAATTACTGGTATCCGAATTGAACTCTTTAGTGATCTATTTGGTTAAATGCAGATTCAAAGGTTTTCACTTAAATCCCTCTCTGATCCAGGTAGTTGTCGAAAGTTTTAATCTTCAGGATTGTGTTGTTAAAACATTCACTCGGTACTGACTGTCACATGACCTGACATACACAGAAATGAATCACCCAGTGGGGGATATGGTTAAAAAACATTTAATTGTTTTATAGATATTGAAGCTTTATTTTTATTCCTCGGTTTCACTATTACTTTTTATTCCCCGCTACAATAATTGTTCAATTTTCTATTGTTGTTATATTTGTTGTTCTGTTTGTTGTTTTGTCAATTTAATGCTAATAAAACAGTCCCTGAAAAAATTTTCTTATAACATCTTTTTGTAAATTAACATCAAGTATCAAAAATGTAACGTAAACTCATTGAATTTGATGTACATTTTTATGCTAAGTAAAGACAAATGTTCTTGTACAAATCAAATGTACAAAATAATGCTTTAAATTGTAGTCATAGTAATTAAGTAATTAAGTGTTTTAGATTTAGTATAGAAATGTATTTTATATTCCATGTTGTTGTGTGCGATCACTTTATTTGATTTATGTTGCGAAAAATTGGGGAGACATTGATATAGCTTTTTTTTGCATGCAATACTATTTTCCTTGCAAGAACAGTCAACACAAAATTTGAATGTTTGGAAGGAATGAACCATTTCCCCATGTTGTGTATAGTGTATTATACAATGTGTCAAGTATATATTGTCATGTATGTATTTATTGTATATACAATGCCAATAACTGTATTGTAAACCTGTGTAGTAATGTCCTCACGGCTTTCTATCAGCTTTCTAAGGTAGCTGTTAAATTTATTGTCATTTTAAATTGCAGATTGGGAAAATATGAAAAACTGGCTAAACTAGTTACACTATGTACACTCCTACCTTTTTATTGAACCGTAGACAAGCAGCTAAAGCCAGCCTATGTGGGAGAACAAATCTGAAACACTGATGTTACTATACTCTGTTCACAAAATTTAGGCGGTTTTAGGGGAAGAAATTCATCCCATCTACTTTAGATCCTACCTTTAAAACAACAGCTGAGGTTCGCCAAAATATCAATCAGCTGGAACATTATAAATGAATCAATTAATGGGCGTGTTCTGGGAACATGTACCGGTGCACCGGTGCAGATTAACCGGTGACTTATTCACCGGTACCGCCCCGGGGCAAGAGTCTTGGTATCCCAGAACGGTTATTCACCGGTTTAAGGTACACATCGGATTATAATTTACACATTCACCTACTATTTACTTTATAATATTCAAACCAATCAAACTTGTTCTCACAGAATAAATTATTTGAAAATTTTTCACTTAATACGTAATACATCACCCTCATAGAATAAATTGTTCACTAATTACGCAACATAACCTATAAAACTGATGAACATTATTCGATTCGATGGACCCGCCATCTTGCCGTAGCTGCATCTGTTGTCGTTGTCCAAGAAACTGACCAATCAGAGGCCGTCGGTGTATTATGCACCGTACATTTTCTCCGGTGCATGAATCTTGCACCGGTGAAGGAAAAAGAGGAAATAGCTGTCTACTAGGTTAACTCACCGGTCTCCCAGAACGACACATATTTTGTACCGGTGCACCGGTACATGTTCCCAGAACGCACTCAATGTAGTGGGGGAACTTCCCCTCAATCCGCCTATATTTTGTGAATGGTTTATAGTTCAGTTATGAGGAAATATTTTTATTAAGGAAAAAAATTCTTTCAACAGTCTTTCTCAGCAGAATCATCAATTAAGCAACAACAAGCATCTATTCATCCATTTAAAATATAAATATCAACTCATTTTTATAATCATAGAAGCACCGGTTCTTTTAAATGTGTTAATTACAATTTATCTTTTAAGTAAATTTTGGCTGTTTGTTTGCGTTTTCCGTTTCTCTTTCAGGAAAAATTAAAATCAAATTATTTTAGTTTCACGTTTTCCCATTTGCCGAGATCTGTGATTTTTATTACTATTTATTACTAAATATTTTTAATGCAGGGTAGTTAATATGAACAAATTTACCGGTTACATATTTTTGTGTATAATTTATTTTGTTTTGTATGTCGAACATGTGATGTTTTATCGTTATTATTACTTGTTTACCCCAAATAATTTTTCTTTTAGTTTTGAGTGCCATATCGCTGATTTTCATCTAAAACATGTGTTTCAATCTTATATCGAGCCATTCCAAGTTTATAGTTGTAGTTTTGTTACCTGAGTAATTGATGTATGTACAGTGCAGAAATAAAGTGTACTAATTAAAACTGATTTGTTATTTGCCTCAATATATACTATGTAATGACAAACAAAGACAATTTGAAACAATCTCAGGTAAATTTAAAAATAAAAAAACAGCATAATGCTTAAGTTTGAGTTATTTAGTTAGTTTGTGAGAACACTCAACTTCATTGTTTCTGGCAAGAGTATAACTGTTATTTAATATGTTACTAATTTGCTTCTATTGTTAAAAGTTTCTAATTTATACATCTTTATTGATACTGACATATAGTATAGCCTGTTGGTTTAAAATAAAATATAATTCCACCTCAGCCAGTTGTCAGTTGTTTATCTTCTAAACATATAAAGTCAAAGCCCTCACTCAATGATTCATTACTAATTATCCAACTTCCAGACTAGCTAGAAGGGTGAAATTAGGTATACTCATTAAATTTGGTCAACAATAATTTCAAAGTGATTTTACTAACGGGACACCCTACTGAGGTTCCGAATGTTATTCTTATGGGCATTCAATTGTTATCAATAATCTATTATTCATACCATCTGTTAGAACATTTTTATTTACAACATCTCTCCCAAAATATATTTTTTTTTTTTTTTAGTATCTAGAATGAAATTTCCAAGTTAAAATTGTAGGTAAAACCATAAACTTTCAAAGTGTTGTGTACTTGTCTACTATGCATTTTATTACTCCTATTTGACACAACAGCTTATTTTCATTATTACTATTTTCGCTTCAGTACTTTGTTTTTGAGCTAGACACTTTAAATGTGTGCTGAGTACTTTTTGTCCTTTTTTTCTGTCTTTTAAAAATACGGATGCTGGATTATTACTTGATATACTAAGTACCTTCACCTTTTTGGTGGTGTTTGGACAGCTACTCATAAGGCAAAGGTTAGTGCCTACTTTCAGGGTCGTATTTCCCTAACGTCGGACATAGTGGTTGCCAGGGGCCGGAATTTTTTTCCTTGATGAATCTATTTCACTGATAATCTGTTTTGGCAGGATACGCTGATGAAATCTGCGTCTTAAATAGTTTGCCGTTAACATAGGAGTTATCACTATTTGTTCTAGATGGCGGAAGATGACCAGGATTTTATCAGGACCTCGGGAGTTAAAGATCATGTCCCCGCAAATTCAAAAGATCTTCACGATTTTGCCGCGATTTTCCACAACAACCATAGGCGCAATGGTTATAGGATACATTCATGATCTTGTCACGATCGCAGAAGATGAAGATGATGTCGGCTGCGATTGCGAATGATGTTCACTTTTTTGCCATGAACGTAGATGTTCACGATCTCTCCGTGACCGCGGCAGATGTCCACGATTTTACTGTAAGCGCAGATTACTGTGTTTTTACTGTGTTGCGGTAGTGGATGAGTGGTATTTACAAAATTTCTCATCATTTAGGCCTAATGCGCTACGACAATCAATGACCCAAATTACAATATTGTTGATTAAACAGAGTATCCTTACATTGCAGTTTATATCAATAATAAAAGACAATAACAAATACAGCCAGAATAGTTTGTACAACACGCTATAGTGGGAAGCTTAAATATGAACTGGTTAGATGACACACACTTTTAATTTTTTTTTTTTACAAAATAATAATTGGTCAGTCTTTTTGAACTACTGGGTAGCTTCCAATCAGGCTCCAAAGTTACTTTTAAGACAATCTGGGGTAGAATAAGCAAAAAAAAGCCTAAAATGATTTTTTAAAACAAAACGGTCATTTACTGGGGTGTGGTCATCCACTGAAGCACTTATCCAACAGCTCCTGTAATTGTAGTTTATTCTTTTTGAACAGGTTCTAATGATTAGTAAATACAAAATTAACTTCAATATTGGATCTAAAAAGGCAGTAGGACAATAATTTTACAAGAATACAAAAGTTGCATTACTAATGTAGCATACACAAATAATATATCTATCTTCTCATTACAAATGAAATTAAACAATTCATGTTTTGTTCCTGTTCCTAATAAGAAGTGTTTAAAAAGTACATTTAAAAAGTAAGTAAATATTACCATCCTGTAGTAATATTGTGTATTGTAAGTACATTGTGATTTCACAATTTGCTCTCATCATTAAACAGCAAATAGTACTGTAGCCTATAGTACCACTGACAATGGTAATGATAGTACTTTGGAGCCTTATAATGGTTGTTTCTTAGTTAATCCTTATATATAATACGTGAAGGCGATTTCTACGAAACACTACTCCTCCGTTAATAATGGACGGATTTTTACAAACGATGTGTCAAAATTAAGTATTTTTTTGTGTAGACGCCCCCTTTCACCAATTCATGTAATAAAAGTCGGGCTCTGCCCCACAGGCCTTCAATCCCAATGTATTTCTTGTGAAGAAAATATTTTGTTTCTTTAAAAAGACAAATAATTTGTAGCCTATTAATTACAGCTGTTCAGAGTAAACACATGATATACACAAGAGCGTTTGTTTTCAGTTTCGATAACTGTAGTGGAGTGATTGATTACACATTATCTTTAAGTTGATACTTTTAAGTCATCGGAAATTATGATCGTTATTCGTTTTGAAATAACGCCTGTAATACTTTGCAATTGCTCGAATTCAAGCAACAGGTGCACTAGTCTATATTATTAAAAGAACTTGTTGGATTTTTGTTAGCAGCAAATCGACTCCTAAATATTAGGCATATTGGGTATCAATTTAAAGCTCTTATCCTCTAGATGTGATTTTTGCGGGTTTGAATGATATCCCATGTTTGGAATTAAAATCGATGCCCTAAATATAGTTCAGTCTGCCCGGGTTCCTAAATTTCCAGAGGTCAATCGAGATTTGTTTTTACCTAAACACAATCAAAAGAGTTTATGTTTTTAGGAGAAGGTTCAGAACTCTTTCCAGACTCGAAACTCTAAGGTTTATTCTGTAAGGCTCATCATCACCAACTCTACTACCTTCTGGGTGTCAGGGGAGCGACCCTGGTTCCCCAAAACGAACAAAATTAAGAGTCAACATCGAACGATTGTGCTTTGACCACTAAATTCTAACAAAGTCGATTAATTGGTGCTGGGTTGTAGGGTAGTGCTCTAGTTCCCAAAATGATTAAAACCGAGAGTTAACGCCGGGCGATAGTGTCTCGATCGCTAACTACAAATAAAGTCGATGAAATGGTACTGGATGTCAGGGGAGCGACACTGGTTCCCAAAACGATTGAAACTGAGGGTTAACGTAGAGCGATTGTGTCTCGTTCGCTAACTACAAATAAAGTCGATGAAATGGTACTGGGTGTCAGATGAGCGACCCTGGTTCCCAAAACGATTGAAACTGAGGGTTAACGTCGAGTGATTTTGCCTCGATTGCTAACGGCGAATAAAGTCGATGAAGTGGTACTGGTCGTCAGGGGAGCGACCCTGGTTCCCAAAACGATTGAAACTACAACTAACCACCTATGCAACAACTGAAATGCAAATAAAATTATATTCTTCTTTCAATTAACGAATAACGAAATAATATGTAAACCAATGTAGTGGTATACTGCACTATCCAATGTCTAAAGCAAGGGTAAGAGCGGTAAAGTGTAGCTATGGTATTACTAAACCATGCTATGGTATAACCAGAGGGTGTACAACAATCACCGGGGAAGATGTCACTTGCTTCGGTGGTGGCTAGGACGAGACTGACAGACTGAACTGTCCGCGGCCGCTCACTCTTGGCTTCCCCCACTCCGCTCGAGGCCCGACGCTAGCGCATGGTGTGGCGGCGGCTGCTACAAGAATCGTCTTAGAGCGAGGCAGGGTAAACGTTGACTTTGCCCTGTCTAGTTTAGTTTCCTTTTGTCGCTACTTCGATAATTCCAATAAAAAATTTAAAAAATAATCCTCTCTCCTTGTTTAATGTTTCCCTAATTCTTTATAAGGTCAAAATAAATTCAGGGGTCTCTTTTTTGACCGTTAAAATAGTTTGTGCTGAATTCTGTTGTCAATTATCTGCACTTTTTCAAGTTTACATTGGTTTTGTTTACATCAAAACAGATGGACATAATTCAATTTTGTTTACATCCATACAAAAATGGGGTTATCTGTAGTTGGTGATTTTCAATGAATTCATGTAAAATGTTGTAATGTTGTTTGTATAAAATGTAAAGAAGAAAATGACTTGCGTTAGATTCTATGTTGTGATAGGATTTTGTGTTTTCATAAGTATTTGTAATTTTTCTAAGATCCCTCAAAGCGATTGTGCACCCAATGAAAATAATAGGGATATGATGAAAAATAGTTGTTTTCATCCTTATCAACTATATATCAAATATAACATGGTCCCAGCAGTTAGACCATATAATAAAAATGTTTCCAGTGATGAGTCTGTAAGATTGCTGGGTTTCACCCTGGATTCGGAATTGCGTGGGATGACCAGGATGACGCATGCTCAGATGTTGGGATGGGATGACGCATGCTCAGAAAGTCCATCAAAACAAAACAAAAGCCATCCATAAAAAGGCTCCATAAAAAAAGGCTATCCGAGTAATGTCATTTGTTCGCTGAGCTTCACATTATGACTTGTTGTGAATGTCTATATTTACCAATCTTTGTTAGCTATTAAGGACATGGAAGAAGATCTTGTTTGTAACAAGGATGTCCACTTATATCCCACAAGAAATAGAAACAATGTACATTTAAGTAGCAATAGATTGAGTAAAACTAATAACTGTTGTCCTGTTACAGGCATAAAGTTTTACAATGCTCTCCCGGAATTAAAGTGTTCGGTCATTGTGGAAGTCAAAATTTACTAAAATTGTAAAAGATTGGCTCGAAACTAATCCTTTTTATGAATCTGTTGAATATAATGATGCTCTGAAGGCTGGCCATTGTTTTAATTTGTAATTTTATTCATATACTCAGGTATGTGTCACAATTTCATTTTTTTTCATAACTGCATGGTTTGCTGCTTTGTTTGCTGTGTGAGATTAACCCATTTCAGCATGGTTTGTAATGGTGAACATTTCATTTATTTATATTAATTGGTTTGTTTTATAGCATAG